CGCAATCTCACTGCCAGATTGGACAACAACTTGTTTTCAGGGCCGACCTGAGGTTTCAAATTGCTACCAACGACGACTGGCAAATAAATGTATGTTATATAAGAGGGTTTAGGTTGTTCTGATATAAATTAGCTTCCTACCATTGATGAAAACTAGGTGGAGCATTGAGTCCCAGCTCTTTGGAGAGTTTATCCTGAAATGGCTCTTAGCTTGAGTGAAACTGTTAAATCAGTGATATCAAAAAGATCAAATATACCTGTGTGATTTATGAGCCAGTGTCAGCCAATGTTGTCAAGAGAGCCAAGGCAGAACTCATGAAATATTCCTCACATGAAAGAGACAACTCTATAGGAATGTGTGCATGTGTCTATACGCTCACTTTACTCTTTTGTGCACTTTGTGCATCAGAGGTTGTTTATTAGTTCCATACTGTGAAGCTAGCCACGGCTACATCTCCAGAAACTTTAACTGTCAGACAATTGGGTTGAAGATTCAGTTCTATTGTTAGAGGCACTGAATGCTAATGGAATGCTAATCTGCTTAGACATCAATTTTTTGTCCCTGACTGGTGGCATTAACATTTCATTGTTTACAGTATTAGCGCAATATACTGAGATAGAGATCTGAGGTTAATGATGTGAATCAGACAGGAACCAGACATTACCTTGAGTGTGCGACTAATCTCCAGACCAGACGCCTTCAGCTACGTCTGATAACCTCGCTAATTATTGCAGATAGAAACTCTGCAGGGATTCTTATAAACAGACCTCCGTATCAGCAGCAAAGTTTATTGTACGGCCGTCTTGCACTGACTACACAACGTTATTGTTGGAGGGGTTGTGTAAGTGAAAACTTCAAAAACCTGATTGCTGCACATGAGCGGCTGCTTTCACAGACCGAGGACACACCTGAAAACATGTGTTTCTTCATCATTAGGCTACAATGGAAATGAACTGTGAGCAACGTCACCTATAAGGAGTCAGGCAGCATTAATGAACTACCTGCCCACATCGGGGTATGTGGTGCATTAGGGGTAAATCCATTCCAGGTCTAGGCTGTTTGAACCCTGGCTTAACCTCACTCACTCCTGTTCACACACACACCTGTAATGAAAAATGACCGGCAGACATGCTGCGTGCAGGAAGCGGGGAGACTGAAATCATATTTGGCGTTTAAGTGAGATGCCTGGAGGCCTGCTCTGGAGGCTGCAGCTACGCCTCAGGTCTAGTCTTCATGGCACTGTAATGAGTCCAGGAAGTGGAGGGGCCCGCGTCTAGGATACTTCTGTAATTCTGTAAGTCTCTGATGACCGTGGCAGTGGCAGTGGGCATGAGCCTGAAGCAATTCAGAAACTCAAACTTTTTAACCTGCAATTTAGCCAGTTACTTTAAAACTGAATGATTTCATGGAGATAAAAAGAGAAATCTGCAGGGGAACTAAATGTTTTGAGGCCGAGCACTGGCAACAGAAACAACAAAGTCACTCACTTGGGCTGTTGGTTGAAATACACTGTAAAATTATGAGTGTAACTTATATATATATATACCGTATATACTGTATATATATATACTGTATATGTTCACTGGAGGGCTGTAACATTAAATTTGCACTCCTGACTTTGTGATGGAGACTATGGGGGCCAATATCCCCATTTGTGGTGAGTGTTCTCACATAGTCGTGTCTGTTTATGGAGGGATCAGCGCTTCCCCGAAAATTTGCTTCCAAACTAATCAGAAATGTCAAACAGCTCAGAGCCAACTCAGCCTTGGAAATACTAGCGAGGGGCAACCACAGACTATGCAAAATACAGCATGGGCTCCCACAGAAATGTGCTGTTTGCCGTTTTCAGAACGTGTAAATTCAGAACTGTAACGTGGCTAAATTTGATGTTGTTCTGGCTCTGCTAGGAGTCGAACCCCCAGGATAAATTTATAGGACATCGAAGACTGCAGGCTCCAAACCATGACCACTGTGATTATTTTGTAAGATGTGACAGAGGGGTGAAAGAATCATGCAGAGGCAGAGAGCTCATTGAGGTAATTGAGACAAAGGGACAATAGATGGCATTATTTAGAGTTGCCCTTGAGCCTATACATCAGAATAGACCTACAGTTATAACACAGCCTCCCACAACTTCAACATCTAATCCAATCCAACTGCACTAGGAGTTGGGGGGGCTGGAGATCACCCCTGCCTGTGGTGTTATAGTGTGCTAACAGGATTATTTGGGTTTAGTTTATGGATTCCAATCCACAGCTTTGATTTTTTTTTTTTTTACTGCTTACACACATACTATTGTATTCTTATTGTCAGAGCCTTCTTGCCTTTTGTTGAACTCTAGCTTTTCTTGTCTGTCTTTGTCTCACCATTCTTTCTTCTCTGCTTGTACCTACTTGGCAATGTACCAGATTTCTGTCCTGGTGCGGCAGCCCGTTGTTGTAACTTATTTTAGGGGTGAACACAGAAAGACACACTCCAGATGTCCAGGAAGAGACGTTGTTAACGGTGCATCTGCATAATGTGCTTGCTGTGAGCCTCAGTTGCCCTGTGTCTGTTATGATAACGTCAGTTGGAGGTTAGTCGTCTGCAGGGCTAGGTAAGACCAAAAGCATTCCTCTCACATGTAGCATCCCATCTGATGAGAGGCACCTTTATATTCTCACTGCCAGACTGACTTCGCTTTGCCAGAAAAATAGCAAAATGATCAGAGGGATGCACAGCACCTCTTGCTCTCGTTCTTGGCAGTGGGAAGGTACGGAGCTGGTTTGATGTGTGAGGCCTGGTTCTGCAACGTGTAACAGAACAGATAGATTATTATTGTGTAATTGCTTAAATTACCTGCTAACTGTGGTTCCTGACTGACTTGGTAAAAGCAGATGTTATGCAGATCCAGGAGGAAATTAAAGTAAAAAAAACCTCAGATGATAAAATTAGAATGTGCAATCAGATAGAATATTTGTGTCCCCTTTGAAGGGAAGCCAACGACGTGTGTGTTTTATTTGCACATCTGTGCATGTAAGTCTCATTTTCTTGGGGGAGTTGAAAACAACAGCCAGACAATGATGTTGTTTATCTAAGCTATAACCCTGCTCATTTTATGGTCATGTACACAGCCATATTCTATTAGCTTGGGTCTAAGGATGGGACAAGACTCAACAAGTTGGCTGTCTGTATGCAGTTTCATTTATTTGCTCTGTGCATGAATTCATATCCCAAAATATCAAGCAAAAAAAGCAATATTTTATCTCAGTTAAACTCAACAGTTGCCTTGAAATTAGCCATAATTAAACAACAAAAAAGCAAACTGTCAAATTCCATTTGTAATTGTGATGTATTTGCGTGGTCTGCTGAGTGCTTCTCATTTCTGCCGCACCATAAAGGCACAACCACCCATTCATTAGATAAATTGCGCAACCTGACCGCTGTAGTGGCTTTTTGCTGCCCTCCTTTGTATCCCACTGAAACAATGTGCAATATTCATTCCAGGGTAAACTCTGGGTAAAAAGAAGAACCAATGAGCACAATGTGTGCGACCGATGTGTTGTGGGAGTCCTGGGATCTCGTTTTCACATTACCCCATAGGGCTTTAAAAGTGTGTAGAGCGGTTGCGTGTGTGTCATGGGATGGCGTGTTGTGGTGTACACGAACAGTCAGTGAATGACTAATAGTTATGAAAATCATATGAAAATACTTGCGGTTCTTGTTCGTCATAGTATCCAGTGCCTGACTCGCTCTGCAGACCCCCGACCTTGAGTACTGTTTACAACTGTTAACACGTGATTGTGTGTGAGTCTGTGATTTAATTGATGGGCTCTGTCTGACCTGTGTTGTAAAAATTATTTTCTCCATGAAAACGGTGAATTGATGTTATTGCTTTTTTCAAAATATTGAACTTGACTGGTACCGCCAGATAATACAGCTGGTCAACTCCTAGTTTACTCATTGAATCCGTCCATAACTCCGCTTCAAAATTCACATGGGAAAGTATGTATGTAGCTGAACAGCCACTAAATCTCTTGCTGTAGCTCAAATTAGGTGCATTCAGTTTGGCGCATTGTGAAGTAAAAGATTAAGAAAAAAAATAAACTATATAAGTTAAAATGTTCTGAGCTACTATGGCACAGAGAAAAAGGAAAAACCCTAAAAAATATATATTTTGATCAAATTTAAAAATAGGACTGAACAGAGTAGAATATAAATTCTTCTTCTTCAAAATAAAATAGTGATAAAAAGTAAAGGTTCTTTTTTCATTAAGACCTGCACATTTCTGTTTTTTTTTTTTTTTTATTAAGTATGATGTTGTAGTTCATCACAAGCAGAATAGAATGGACTCAGTTTTACTTACCACTAAGTATAAAGTGACAAAAAGCTGTGGCTACACTAGGCCCTAACAGTTCTCTTCCTCTCCTTCCCTGTCTGACTGTCCTTGTCCAATATTATTCTTCACTTGCAAGTGATTTTTAAACAGCTCCCGTTTGAACCAACCATTAAGTCTCTCACACAAAGATGTATGCAGAAAAAAACCCTTACACTTCATCGACATCAGAATAAGTTCAAACCTTCCTGGCCGCTGCTCTGTTCCCTGCTTGTTTGGTCTGCGTGCAGGCAGAGAGATGGACACCTCACACCACAGTATGATCCAGAACAAATTATAGCATGAGTGAACACAGGGTAACAGCTACTTTTAAAGAACCACTCCGTTGTGTACAGTGTTCTTCACACAGCACCACACCTAAGGGTTGTGGCACACAGGGCGTTCAGGGCGATACAGACTACCCTGCTCTTTCTTTTTTACCCCAGGGACTGTGGTTTTAAAAAGGGGAGTAGGGGAGAGGGGGATCGTGGGGTGGCAGATAAATAAAGTGTGAATTCTTCAGGTTAATCATTGAAACATTAATGGAGGAAATTGTTTAAGTTTCTAAAAATAGTCAAAATCCTTTGACTAAAACAAGTTTATTTTGTCAAGCTTCGTAACCAGTTTCTGCTCCTTGTCTTCACAGGGATCTGAGTGAGAACTATATCCAGTCCATCCCCAGAAAAGCCTTCAGAGGAGCTACAGACATCAAGAACCTGTGAGTAGTTCTCAACAGATGCTTTTCTATATTTGTTTATTCTCAATTCTAATTCTTTTATATTTAAATGCACTTTTCTTTTCTATTAGAGTGAAGAGGTAAAACTGCTAAAAATGTCTCCCTCCCTTGCAGGGGGTGCTATTAACATTTCCTTATGTACTGTAATCCTACTCTCTGTCCTGGGATGTTTGTGTGCTGAGAACACCTAATCCATGGAACTGTATGCCTCCAGAAATGTCATGACATGATTATATTCATGACCCATTTAAAAACTATTACAACAGAATCTGTGATACAATACATCTTAAAATTTTCAGACTGTGACACACAAAAAAAATATTTAGAGCTTTACTGCCTACAGTAGTCAGTCTAATCCTGATAATCCTTCTTCCATGGGTTTTAAAATCGGCTGAAAGAAGGGAGAAAATGGAAAATACAGATAGTGTAAAGTGTACTAAAGATACACATAATAGTTTATATTAAATAATTCATTTGAATCTGTAGTTTATATTTATTTTAAAGTCCAGGAAACTTTACCTTTAAAAAGAAAAATAATAATAATTTAAGCCACTAATAGTAAACAAGAGTAAACAGAAGAGGAGTATGGTATGGTATGATATAAGTCCAGCATTTCAACATTGTTTTCCTGTTTACTGAAGTCAGTGCCCAAGGTTTCAGTGTTTTTCATGCATGGTCTGTTGATAATATATCTCACTCCCACGGAGCGGACAAACAACCTCATACACAAACACGGCTTCCCGAAAACGCGACTCTGATTTACATCTCCACCAGTGTACGTGCGTTCGCAGTGATTTATGACATGCATCAATGCAGATTAACATCCAGTAAAGTTGCATTTCGCCACACTCCAGGGTTACATGAGCTGTGATGACTTAACCAGTATCGATTTACCACAGTCCATCAGTGCACTACTTACTGTATCAATGATTACAACTGCCCCGCTGGGAGACTATAAGACTGTGTATGTTACAAAGCCTATGTGTGTCTCGTTTGCTCTGCAGTCAGCTGGATAAAAACCACATTGGCTGCATCGAGGACGGAGCCTTCAGAGCTCTGAGGGGTCTGGAAGTGCTGTGAGTATCTCATGAGCTGCTATACTGTATATTTATCCTGTCAACAACCCGTACTATTCCAGGAAAGTTAAAGGAATTAGTTTGATTAAGATGACGCCTTTCCTTTTTAATTACCACAGTTAATATGTCAACATACCAGAGGCTCTAAATTAGCATGTCCTTAGTTATTATGCCAAAATACCCCCAGCGGGCCTCATGAGGGGCCAGCATCATGGAAACCAAGCTCTATTAAGTCATTGTTCCACACAGTTGCGAGCGTTCCCCTCCATCACATTACCACCACATTCGTCCACCTCTAACCCCTCCCCTTTTACCACCCCATCAATCCCTGACAAGGGCATACGACAAAAGAGTTCCAGCCACATTATTAAAAAAAAAGAAAAAGAAATCCATCCTTCTGTTCCAGGTGCTTTGATTATCATGTTATGCTTTTTTTAAATAATCCATGAATAGTTTCTTGTCGGGAATTAATCAAATCCCTTTGTTGTAACCTGGAACAATGTAGATAAACAGAGAACAAAGGCGCGTTGACAGCTCTGTTGTATTCTGGAAAAGAAAGACTGAGACTGTGCATTTGTAGTGGAATTTAAAAAGGTGGAAGGGTTTTAAAAAAGACATCATTAAAGTCTTCTTTCACCGCACAAATGAGTTAAAAATCTACTGATAGGGTTGAAATAAAGGAGAATGAGGCGGTGTTATGTTCAGTGGGGGGTTACGTGGCGTTTAGGATTGTGGGGGGAGGAGGACAGGTTCTGTTAAAAGGGGGAGCAGGTTGAAAAATGGGAAAAGGTTATTAGCCTGATTGAATTGACCTGATTCTCTTAGTGCTGCAGCTGAGGCCCGGGCGTCGAGGAGGAGCGCGTGCTCGTGTGTTTGTATGAACTGCAATTGAGGGGTGCTTGTGATTGTGTGTGCGCAGGTTCATGCACATGTGTGTATTTGCATGCATGACAGTACGTAGGCACGGGAGGTGTGAGGGCTTCCCATCTGTGCAGAATGAGGTGTTATTCCCAGTGGGAAACCATAAGGATGTGGGGAAAAAAGAGGGTGGAGAAATCAAAGGATGATAATAAAAAAAAGGATGGGATTAACCCACAAGAAAACTCTTTTAGAATTACAAATTTAAACATTGATCCACACCCCCCTGCCACCACCACCCCCCTGTGCTGACCTGCCTGTGTCTCATCTCCTTTTTTCACAGAACACTGAACAACAACAACATCATGTCTCATCTCCTTTTTCCACAGAACACTGAACAACAACAACATCAGCAGCATTCCCGTCTCCAGCTTCAACCACATGCCCAAACTACGAACATTGTGAGTCACATCTGTCCCAAATTGTTCCGACACCACGTTGTGTTTGAAATAAAAGTATAACGTGAATGCTTACAAACAGGCCAACGAGAAATGTTCTGTAATTCTGTATGATTATCCGAGTACATAAGGCCCGTCATTCCTGGCATCGCTGGGAGGAAGCCATAACACCACCACGGAGGGGGGTCTGTAGCAGTGCCAAAAGTCATTATTGTTTCCATTTGAAGCATACACAACAACAACAACTGGCCCAGATACATGCAAATAGCCCTACGAGCCTATTTTGTATTGTCCATTGTACTGTGTGTGTACTTAATCTGAATTATGTGCAAATTAAAACAATTAGAGCAGTGACTCCACTGTTCCTGTGGTGGCGTTTGGGGCTTCCTCACTCCCAGTGGGGTCATACTGTTTGCGAGTGCACATGTGTGTTTTTGTTTGTGTGCGATCGGGTTTGAAAGTTAGCATATGTTCTCCAGAGGTCCACCGCAGCAGAGCTTGAGTTATTCTGGACTGATACTGCATTCCAGGAATGCTGTGTTTGGAATAGCGGGTTTAGAAAAGTCCTCTTCGGCGTTCCTTCGTTTTTTTGAATGTGCCATTTACAATCCATTCATGTAGCGTGCCAATCAGTGTCCCTCACAAAGACAGGATGTGATGAGTTCCATCAAGGGATTGATGTAGATGCTGAGGATCCTTACTGATGTATCCATGCTGAAATATATTGTCTTTTAACAGCCGACTCCACTCCAACAACCTGAACTGTGACTGTCACTTGGCCTGGTTGGCCCAGTGGCTCAGACAGAGACCAACACTTGGCCTTTTCACCCAGTGTACCAACCCTCCTGAGCTCCGAGGACTTAATGTGGCCGAGGTGCAGAAAAATGAATTCAGCTGCTCAGGTAAGACTGAAAGATAGAATATAATATGGTACAACGACATTTAAACTGTGGAGACATTTTATTGATACCTAGAACACCTGTTCTAGGTAGAGTTAGTGCACAGAGCAAGGCCGCAAGATAAAACACCTGTTCTAGGTAGAGTTAGTGCAGAACCAAAGACCTTTTAGACTTAGTTAAAGTCTTTATACCCACTTTACATCTTCAGAGAATCCTACAACTGTTTTGGAACACAACATTTTTATTTTTTTTTATTTTTATCTGCTCTCTCTACAAGAGAGATGAACACAACATCAAATTTGATCATTTTACAAAATTCAAAAGAATAGTTTGAAAAATACATTTTAAAAACCTGTTGCTTTTGGTCGCACTGATCGTAATATTAAATCATTCATAAGTAAAAAAAACAAAAACAAAACAACAACAACACCTTCTCGTCCTTGCTCCTCAATATTCTCCTCCCTGCTCTCCCGCTCTGTATCTGTGTCAGTGTTTTCACCTGACAGCCACCTGACAGCTCCCCTGCCACTGGGTTACCCTCCGGCTCTTCTCTTCTTGCCCTTTCATGTGTCTCCAGCTTTCAGGAGCTGGCAGCAGTGCCAGGCAAACGCCTGACACATAAAACACGCCACTGCCCCCAATGACAGTAGTGGGGTGTCATCTTTATCTTGACCTTTCACCTCCCTGCACGTGGGTTACTGCGGCGTTGAATCTTCTGTGGGAGGAGGTGTACGGGCGCGCTCTAAGGGTTTTTATATCAAGACAACGAGAAAAGAGTATGAGAAAGTTTGCTCCCCACAAGGCCATCTCATTCCCAGCACCAGCTGTGAGGAGGATTCCAGTGTGTGTGTGTGTGTGTATGTGTGTGTGTATATGTGCACACTGTTGGGTGTGTGTGTTCTGGTCTTTCTCTCTCCATGGGTTGTGATTTTTACACGGCCATCCAGCGTGACAGCACAGATCATTAACTATTCATCGCCCAAGGAAAGAGACTCAAAGCGTGGGAGTGTAACAATACAGAAGAAAATTAACATTTTGCCTCAGGCATGGCAGTGGATTTTGTCAAATGTTGATATTACCATCCATCATCACAAAGTTCCTGAATACAGTACAATAAAAAGTACTCGTCTGTATTTGGGCTTTTGCATTTCATTTAGAATACTGTAGTTGCTGAAAGATCTATGAAGTTCCCCCATATCTAACTTGAAGTTCGTGCACATTCAGCAGCAGTTTCTGTTTTCTCCATATCTAACTTGAAGTTCATGCACATTCAGCAGCAGTTTCTGTTTTCAACCATGGGTAACCTTAGCATTAAACCTGAAACATTTGTTATCTTCTGGAGGGAGAAAAACATATTTAACATTTAAACATTCTTCCTTGTATAATTCCTCTTTGATACCCAACCCCTAAACCTGAGTTAACTGGCATACAGCTGCCATAATAACTGCTCCATGTTTATTGATTGCATTATTTTATTAACTTTTACAGTTTTACTTTACCTGCCAACACTGGCTGAAGTGCCTGACAGACGTCTTCAGTTTCATTTTCTAATGGATTTATTGTTTTTCAAGCAGAATTAAGTCACAGAAAACCGTCTTCTGACCTCCGTTCTTTGCTCTTGTTTCTTGTTCATGAAACTCCACTGTAATTGTCAAACTACAGACTTCAATTTTTGTTAAATATATTTTATAATTATTATAGAGACTTTTCAGTTTTTTTCAGATGTTTTGTTTTTCATTTTTTCCTACCCAGAAATCTGTAATTGACCAATAAGAACAAACATCGATCAAAGAAGAAAAGAATTCAGACACAGAATTTGTCTCTGTGTTTTTCAGCTCAGCATGGATAAATACACAATCATGCAGTGAGGCAAACACACATTCCCAGTCTCTTCTTAAGTGGGTGACTGACCAGAAGTTGAACTCCCACAGAAGGACTCATTAGGAAGTGGCTCAAACACACACACACACACACACACACATACATAAAAGCATATTATGTTGTGTTTTTCTTCTACTTTTTACCTGTTGTGCGTTTGTGTGTGTGTTAGGTAGTTTGTGCTGTGACCAGGCCAGGCCACCTGAGGGGGGTTTAGGGCGAGGGTGCTCACGGTTATAAAAGCCAGGAGAAGGAAATGTAGTCTTTTGTCTTTTGTGGTATTAGTTGCTGCTTATGATGAAATTCAGCATAATTACTCACTGACTGCCAGAAAATCAGCTACAAAGAACTGCAATATTGGAATATTTTTCTGAGTAATGAACGGAGGTACTTTCTTGTCATTTTCTTCACTTTGAAGAATACATTTCACAGACAGTCAGTGAATTCCAGTAAAGAGGTCTGTAATTCTTAAATTAGTGAACTTTTAGCAGAATGTATTTTACTTTACTTTACTTAATTTGTAAATTATAATTATTATATACAGAATGACTTGCACTACTACTACTTATTTGACAGTAAAATGATCCAAGATTTAGGGAAAAATATGTATGTATTTGTTTGTTTGGTCATAATGGATTCTGCAGTTATTCTCAGCTAAACATTAACACGTAAATGCCCCTGCACATCATTAGTGCTAATGATTGTATCACTGAATTATCAAGTCTACATTAGGTAAAAATATTAGGCTTTAAAATGAGGGAGCGGAATAAAACACATCTTTAGGAGAAGAATTACTTTAAAAATAAAAAAGGAGCGATAGACTAAAGTGTGATATGAAATGCAACAATAACATTGGAGGAAAACACCCAGTTTTTCATCTTTGACAATTCAGACGAGCCGATGCTGTCATCTACCCGATCGTGGATTTTAATGGCAGAGCTGTGGAGGCAGAAAGTGCCGCAGTAGGCTGCTGATAAAAAGGTGAAATCGAATCAAACAGGAGAAGTGAAATAGGAAATGAGAGGCAGAGACAGTAGATGGAGGCAGGAACTAATGGGGGAAAACAGTACCAGAAAAAGAGGATGTGTGGAGTGTAGATCAAACAGCTTCACCTTAAGAATACCTGTCAGGGAGCTGTCACTGTTCAGGCTGCTCCAACTGTGCTCTGCACTCTCTCCGATCCCAGACCTGTCAGAGACACCATGTTAGATCAGAGGGGACCTTTTTTCTGAACCTAAACCTGATCCCAGATCTGTCAAACTCTGCCAGACCAGATCACAGGGCGGCAGATTACACAGATTCAGTGACTGTGTGTTTTAGATGCCTTTTGTTGTTTCGACCGAGCTGTGAAGGCATCTCCCGTGTTCATCATCAATGCTGAACTAAACTATGAAAGTTATTCACCTGTATTGACTGGTTGATATTTCATTAGTTGTCAGGGAGTCAGTTGATTTGACTCCCTGTTCCTTTGCCAACTCCCCCACCACATTCTGTCTCCCCCATTTTCCACACCAACTAAGCGATAGATGGAAAATTCATCCAATATTCATGGTTTGGTTACTTGTATTAATAATGCTGTGTAAATGAGGCTATTTAAAAGTCTGTTTAATACGGTGTATCTGGGTTAGACTTCCAAACACCCACACACACACACCACACACACCAAATGCACCATACCGGCGGTGCTCTTAGCCACGTCCTCATCAGCGCTACGGCTGTTTGAACAGGTATCAAGAGACAGAGTGATGGGTCGTGTGCTCTGTATGCAAATGGAAAAGTTGAAATGTTTCCGAACAAATGGAAGTGAAGAGGTGGGGGATGTGAGGCTGAACATGCTCGCAGTTAGAGGACTCAGGAGGAAAATTGATGCAAGATCAATGACTGTTATTGGGAGGGCATCAATCCCACCCCCTGCAGCTCCACTGTTCATATCTTGTTTTTTCTCTCAAAACACTGTGGCACGTCTTTAATATATAACCCAGTTTCTTGTACATTGATTCTCAGGGATGTATGGTTCAACTCTGTAGTCAGCTCTTTCTTTTCTTCCTGCCAGTCAGAAAACATGACAGAGTTCCTGTTCATTTGCAGTTCACTCCACATTGATGAGAGCTGGAGATTCAAGATTCTCCCCAAAAATGTTTTTGTTTTTTTGAGTGGTTCTTAAAAACTCCATTCACCTTTTTCTTTGTCATATTTTACCAGCAATTCATTTCTTGTACATGCCCCCCCCCCCCTCCCTCCAGGTCACCAGGACTCTCCAAACCTGCAGCCTTGCAGCACAGGTGGCGGTTCTTGTCCTGCCATGTGCACCTGCAGTAACAACATTGTTGACTGCAGAGGGAAGGGACTCACCGCCATCCCAGCCAACCTGCCTGACAGCATGGCCGAGATGTAAGTGATGCTTTTTTTTTTACCTTTTTAGGTCAATAATGTCCATGTAGTACAAGGCTGTGTGTGATGTCTACAACATTAAGATGATGTTGGAAGACTGAAGGGGGAATTAATTAACCACTGTTGCTTTTTGGTGGGAGCAAAAAATAAAGGATGCAGCAAGTCACAGTTCAGATAATGTTTTTTCATGGGGCGGCATGAGAAAGGCAGAGATAAGATTAGTTTATATATTTTATTTATATATTTATATATTTTAGTTTATATAAGGGTCCACGAGATGATGTTCGGTGCTGGGTATCCACTGTAAGGTAACATTAGCTCACGGCAGCATTTTTGGCACCTCATTGATTGTACTTCCACTGACCTATAGCTCACCAAACCATCTGCGGACATGGTTCCTCTCCTTTCACATTCCACTTGACAATTTCTGTGGCTTTACAAGACAACTATTTCAGGATTCCCAAAAATCTAATTTTGTCCTCCAAAAGATTAATGTAAGGCTATATTTGTTAAAATGTTTTAAATGCTGTGTTATTTATCAAAACTATCTTGGTGATAAAGCTGTCAAATGTAGCAGATAAAGTTTGAACCACATAACTGTCATCAACCCTGCTGATTAAGCAGGAGAAAAACTGTAAAAAAAAACACGTTGTTGGAACATATCACAGCACAGCTGCATTATTTTTTGGATCTGCACTGCAGGGCATTTGTTGACACTGCATGAAAAAGATTTGTATGTGTTTTCTTATGAATCTGTCTGTGGTTTAACAAGGCTGAAATGATTTAGCCGTCCATGGTTTTATGCAGGGATGAGGTTACAGCCTGCTTCTCCCACCAGGCTTCACCTGACAGCGAGACAACTGTTTTTGCTGTTCACGAAAGGAAACAGGCAGACTTTGAATTGAGACGAGGTATTAATTACCAGCTCAGATGGCTGTGAACCAAGTGCAAGTGCTTGGCCCTCGAGCCCCCCTTAGTTTATCAGTCCTATAACATCTGTCTGGGCATTAACTGTTTACAGCCGACATGCTATCAGCCATCTGCAGTTCATGGGAATGCAGGGCCAGACTTTCCAAGGTGCATCTTAACACACTCTTAATGCCCCGGGCAGAAGTCTGGACGAAACGCTGCACTGACACCACCAATTATTCACACTGAGAAAAAGTCAGGGTGAAGGGTGAAAGACAGCGTGTGCAGTGCCTGTTCTTTCAAGGAGCATGTGTGTGCTTAGGAGGACATGGGAGGCAAGTTTCTAGGTCTCCTCCTCCCCAGGGGGTCTGTTTATAAATACCCAGCCAGCATGGAAGTCACAGATCCCATGTTCCCCAACAACCCTGACCCATTTCCTCAGCTGTGGTTTGCTCCATTTCCTAATTTGGTCGTGCGGTTCACACTTCGGTGTGTTCTTGTCTCACCCGATGGCCACCCATGATACACATTGAGGTATTTGAAATCAATATAACATTCCACCAGCTATGCCTTTATTATACTCCTGCACATTGTTTTAGAGTCCGCAGACTTTGTTCACTTCTAAAGTTTCCCCAAGTGCACCATCTCATAGAGCCCAGTTTGATTTATGAGGCCAATAAATAAGTAGCTGGACCAATGGGAGTGAAGAGTGAGACAGCTGACAGACAGTTCCCCCTGCACAGCAGATGAGTGAGGACATTTAGAAGGTCTGTCTGACCTTCACGTTTATTCTGTCCTCAATCTTGGCCTGTTTTGATGTATTCACTCAAGACTTTGTCAAAAACTGACCAATCATGAACCTAATTTCCAAATTTTTTTTGTATTTTAAACAATTCAATCATAACAAATTAAAAATTGGGCCAACTGTGATTAGTTGGAAAATGATAAAATAACCTGAGCCAAGTGTGATTAGTTGGAAAATGATAAAATAAAAATGTTAGTTAGTGGTTGTAGAACCCTGACTTGTGTTCTTAAAGGTCATACACATTCAGCTGCAGATTCCACCCCAGCCTCACTGATATTTCTCCTGCCCCCCTTTTTTAATATCATTTGATTCCTGCATATATTATTGACATAATGCTACGTCTTTCCTTATTAAAATTTCGGCTGAGGTAAATAACAAATCTACAGATTTTATATTTACTAACTCCACAAACTTTTCTCGACATGTCTGGTCAAGAACCTCACCACTGGAGCCTCATATTCACACAAAATATTTTCTCATTCCTCTGATTTGTTTATTTTCAAATTCATATTCCTTTTCTCACTCTCTTGCCAAATCACTGCAGGCGGATTCCAACCAAAAGATCAATGGATCATGGTGGAATAAATAAAGAAGAAAGTGGTTCTCTGCTCCGTAGTTTGGTGCAGCAGGTTTGATCTGGGCTTGGGCTTCATTATAAAATCAGCTCAGTTACACAGAGGCAGGTTGTGGGCATCAAGGCCAAACTAATGCCTTATTAATGAGGCACTGTGAAGCTCACATTCACATACACACACACGCATGCTGCTCTCATTATGTACAAATCAGAGATTTGCAAACTGCCTGCCGTGCTTTTTCCTAACAAGAGCCAGAGTTATGTTTTGGCTGTGAGAACATGAGTCGCTGTGTGTGCTCTTCTTGTGAGAGCAGACCCAGTTAACCTAAGTACTACCACAACAGATTGTTATGAACCATAGTCTTGGGTCTGCAGTGACTGAAGTCTGCCATTAACCCCCCACCCTTTCATCCACTGTTGTGGACCTGCCATCCATTTCTGACACGGGCATGCACAGGGTGAAAACCCAAATGTATAAAGTGTTTGTCCCTAATGAAAAACATGCCTGGACCCTAATGGAAAGGATGAGGAGAATTGATTGGCCTGAGACGAGCACCAGTTCACAGATGTACGACCGTAGACAAACATACAAATGTTCAGTCTGATAAATTGAATGGAAACTATTGATTTTCCTCCTGAAGGCGACCGGAGACAAAGCAGCGCTGATGCTGATTGGAGGGATTAAGTCTCTCGCACAAATTGATCTGTGAGGACCGTCATGAATGCTGAGAAAGATGCTGCACTGGAGCGAATGCGTGTGCGAGTGCCACACATAGTGCCATGGCTCACACCCCGAACGACACCGACGCTGAAACACATGAAACGAATATCTAGTGTGTGCCAGAGCAGTTTGGAGCAGGCAGGCAGGCAGACTGTCTGATGAGAGATGGTGCTAAAGCCACTTGGCCCAACACTCTGGCGCATGGTGAGGGCAGAGGAACCACAGGGCTGTCACCCGGCTGTAAATCCACAGACACATTGGGACAGGCAGACGAAAACAGACAGAGAGAGCATGTCCACCGCAGGAATCTGCGGTCTGGAATCACTGCTATCCTAAGTATGTCAATTGCGCTCCTATATCGCCCCATAAATGCAGAGCCACTCCTTTGAAGGGTAAAACATTCTTGATTGAAAAATTTTGAAAACTCAAAACTCGTTAAGTGGTTGCGGTTGACGTCTAACAAAACATTTACCCCCCCGTGAACGGACGTAATCATAGCATCAGCCCGGAGCCTGAAAAGTCTGTCATAAATCTGAGAGAAAATAATTAAATCCTGGTTGGTCTCCACAGTCCCGAGCCAAGAAATCACACACTGAGGGGGGTAATAATTACATCTATCAACAACATTCTCCAAGCACTGGATTTTTTTGCTGATTAATACGCATGTTAAATTATCCTGTGGTGACGAATGTCATTTTAGATTGCACTCCAGCCACGGGTCCACCACACCTCCTGCATGGGACCCCGTCTCCTGTTCTACAGACGGCTCTTTAGCTAGGAGGCAGCATGGTGGTGGGACACGCAGACAGGCCCACAGCTGGCTCCCACCAGGCCCTGCTAAGCCTTGTTAAGGACAGTTTTAAAAGCTGTGAAGTGACCTGCAGATAAACAGCCCTCTGTCAGCCACCGCTGGGGAATTGTTCTGGGAGTGAGCGAGTTCGGTCCTAAGTGGTCGTCAGGGCCTGAAAACACAGACATGCATGCCCACACTAATAGGCCTCAGTGATGTCTGTTTCCCCAAGACCATCTGCGACTGATTAGCGTGGCTGTTTTGTATTAAATGACCAAACGTATGCTTGTCTAAAGGTACATTTGCTCCTTTGACAGTTTTTATGGTGAGATTTTGTCAGACCTTGTTCTTGTCAGTTTTGCGTCAGTTGCTCCGAGACTCATGGGGGAAAACATACACTCTAAAGAGTAATATTTCAGAGCGGTGCAAAAGTTTCCCGGGACACTTAACAGACACCCAGAGGAAGACAATTTTCACCAGATCATTATAGATCTCAGGATGTCACATGAGAACGTAAGTGCTGGAAACTGTAAATATTATAACAAAAAGAAATATGACTTTCAGTCGAAGGCCTTAACACTCTGTTACAAGGCAACAAGGAGCCTGTTCCGTCGTCTTTTTCCACAGCACTTTAGTATTCAGATTGTTTATTGGTTCTGAGGATGTTATGACTTCGACCTGCCTGGACCTATTACGGCTGAGACATAGATCTTTGCTAATATAATCACCCCAATCACCGGGGGTCAGAGGTGATGAGGGGGATTATGGAGGTCTGTTGCCTCGGAGAAATGTATTGTTTTGTTAACTGATGGTATTTCTCCTCTTGCCTCCTCTTCTCTTGTCCTCTCTGCAGACGTCTGGAGCAGAATGGCATTAAGTCTGTTCCTGCCGGAGCCTTCTCGCCCTACAAGAAGCTGCGTAGGATGTAAGTACAGCAGCACACTCACCTCAGGGCTACATAATACAGCTGAGAACAAGAAGCTGAGGGCTGGGGAAAAAAAAACAACGACCGTCCGTCCTCTCATTCCACTCCTGAAAAGCATGAACCATTTATTTTGTCTGTGTTTAAAGAACACATTCTGGTTCTCAGACTTGGGCTAGTGCAGAAAACAAGCACCGAGATGCTACATGACCATAATGACAGTCTACGGCTGCCACTGCTGGACACTGGTATTTCCCTAGTGTTGTGTCCCATTGGTGTGTGTGTGTGTGTGTGTGTGTAAATAGTAAACAGGACAGTTAATATGGTAATATAGAGGCTTTGAATGTGCTGGAATGAGAGTTTTCTCTTTCTCCCGTTCGTTTACTCTTTTTCTCATTCTCTCCTTCTTGGTGAGCAGTCGAAGTCCCACAGTTTTGACTGGGATTTTTTTTAAAGCCAGTTAAACCCAGCTGTCTGGTCACCCAGTCGACCAAAACCATAACACCAACACCGCCAGGCCTAACTGACACAGTGGCATGGATCATGTAAGGTCACAGAGTTTCTCTGCCCATCATAAAAGATTCCCAACTGTTTTATCATCCAGCTCTGGGCAGTTGGTTTCATGCTCAGATGGAGTGGATTCAAACAGTGTTCACATGGAGCTTTAGTGAAATCTGGCTGGATATTATTATTGATGGTTACAAAAATGAATGTTTACAGTACTCTAAACCTTGTGATCTGTGCATTAATATCAGGGGCAGCTAATTCACTCATGATAAGTCAATGAAAGCTAGGGCTTCGCTAATGTTTCCTGTCATGTTGCTACAATATATATAAATATTTAAATTTTTATATATGCAATTTATTATTTTCTCATATGCAGAATATTATATATCAATATAATAATATTATGTGCAACTTTGCTCTCTCAGTTGCCCTGCAGGTTAATACACATTTACATTTAGATCTACATGCAGAATAGGCCGTAACTAAACAAAATGTAAATATTAACAAACCTTATGGTTTCACTGGTTTCATGTGAAGCTTTCACACTGAAGTCAAACCTGTTGAAAAACAACCTGAGCAGAACCAGGAACTGATTTTATTTATATCTAAAGATATGACACAACGCAGACTCCGGGCCAGTGAGAATGTGTTGGCCGTCCTCCAGTTGCTCTCTGACTGACTCTGCTTTTGTTACTGCTTCCATTTCTGCTTTTTGAAACAACAGTGTACGACTGAATGTCTGACTTGACCCCGGTGTTTCTGTTGATTCAGCTGCCTGTCTGCCGTCACTGCTCTGCCCTGTCCTGTGTCCAACAGGCTCAGAGCAGTGTCTGTGTGTGGACAGCACCGATATGTCCTGATGCTCTGGTTACAGCTCTCAGGATTCTTGCACTTTGTGTATGATAAAAATATCCACGTCCGACAGGAGACAACTTTACATAATCACAACTTTTGTTCTTTTTTTGTTTTGAACGATTTAACATGTTCATAATTTCTTTTATAGTAGTCTAGGGCATATGGATTTTTTATTGCATACATATAATAATAATAATAATAGTCCCAGTGCAATAAAAAAACAACACAAAAATCATCAAAAAATAGTCTTTATTTTAATTTCTAAAAAATGTACTTGTCCCAGCCCTAAATGACCTCCACGTGACCTCCTCCTGGTTGGTCATTTTCACAGTCACTTGTAGCTTGTAAATGACCTCCACGTGACCTCCTCCTGAAGTAAAGGATGCACTAATAGCTCTCACACTTCGACACACACTCAAACACACCAGCGTCTGACCTCGCAGACCTAACACAAGTGCACATTTTGGCTCCGTCACCACATTTCCTCCACCACAGCCAGAGAGACAAACTGTTACCCCCAAATGAGAAAATATCCCTCTTCTTCACCACATGATGATTTCCCTTCAAAGATACTCAGTCCACTGGGGTTCAGTCCGCATACTCTATTAACTCTGGCTTTAACTCTCTCTCTCTCTCTCTCTCTCTCTCTTTCTTTTTCTCTCCATCTGTCTTCCTCTCTTTTTATCCCACTGTTCATTTACTTCTGCATTCACTCACACATACATACATACTGTATATGCACACAGACACACACATATGAATACCCATAAACACATAGACCATACACATACATACTGTATATACACACAGACACACACATACACATGAATACCCATAAACACATAGACCATAGGATTAGTGGTTATCCTGTGGGCAGAGGCCTGTGGATCCTATTAACAGCCGCTCTGTACGGAGGCAGTCTGCTGTATATGGGTTTGGACTTCTGCCCTGCACCTCATTTTGACTTGACACAAAAGCCATGATGGGACACAGAGCTGCTTAATAGACCTCATGTAATAAAGTATTTGTTATTTGATCAACCATAAAACAGTATTAACTTTATTTGTTTCTCGTTCTGTGTTGGTTTTCTTTAGTGACCTGAGCAACAACCAGATTTCAGAAATCGCTCCCGACGCCTTCCAGGGCCTTCGCTCTCTCAACTCTCTGTAAGTGGTTTCACTCCTGTTTGTTCGAAATCTGCACAGGCTTTTAGTTGTGAAATATTTTTATATTTAATAATGTTTTGGGTTTTTTTTAGTGTCCTTTATGGAAACAAGATCACGGACCTTCCCAAAGGGGTGTTTGATGGTCTTTACGCCCTGCAGCTGCTGTAAGAACTCACAACTATCAACTTCCTGTATCATTTTTATATCATTAAAACTTACATTGTTTCTATACATTGTTGAAAAAAACAACTTAAACTTTCAAATTTATTTTGAAAAGTTTGCTTTCCTGGTTCCTCGTCATTCCCTGCTCACAGTTCCCATTCCCACTTTTCCCCTTCCCTCCTCTCAGGTTGCTGAATGCCAACAAGATTCACTGCATCCGTGCCAACACCTTCCAGGACCTGCAGAATCTGTCACTGCTCTCCCTCTATGACAACAAGATCCAAACCCTGGCCAAGGGCACCTTCGCTTCACTGCGAGCTATACAGACCCTGTGAGTCAAACACACACACACACACACACATACATACATACATATATACTCACAGGAAAACATTCTACCACACACACGCACTGACACATACTGGAGCCGTCATCATAAAACTTGAGCCAACACAGAAGTTGTTTACGCGCAACTGTGTGTAATAACAAAGGAATGGAAGCATGAGGAGAGTAAATCTTCACAAACACACACACACACACACATGCCACATACACACAAAGCTTCTGTGACCACACTCAGATCAAAAACAGCTCCCAGTGATTCCGGCAGAACCATTTCTGTCTAAATGAAGGCCTCCTATTTTCTCTAACAATAAACAAGAGGAGCCGCACGCTGTTATCAATACAGACCCCACACCGTGGTGTGTGTGTCCACCAGGACTGAAACACACTGCAGCGTCAAAGTCACAAACAGACGGCACCTGTTGAAGGAGTTGGGTCTCACCACACTGGGTTGGAGAGTATCAGACTTGTTTGGCTACATTCTTAAAACAGAGTATAAATACACTGGGACCCTCCGACAGTGACTGTATATTTGTATCGACCACTTCCTCTTCCTCTTCCTCTAAATGGCAGAAAAACACTCTTACAAACACACACTATCAATAACTGAGATATTATTTATCTGTGTCAGTTGGAATGTTTTCAAGTGAATATAACCAGCAGCTCAACACTTCAAGACATATCCACTAGGTTTAATAAGATGAGAATGAAAATAATAACAAATAATTAATACAGAAAACAGACTTTTTTATTACTATATTTATTATTTTGTGACCCTTAATTCAATTTTTAAAAACTTCTGTTTCCTCCGTTCCTCTAAATGTTTCCCTGTTGTTTTCTTCTCTGATGGTTTGACCACACCTGTATCTCCTGCAGACACCTGGCCCAGAACCCCTTCATCTGTGACTGTAATCTGAAGTGGCTGGCAGATTACCTTCGCTCCAACCCCATAGAGACCAGCGGAGCTCGCTGTGCTAGTCCACGTAGACTGGCAAACAAACGAATCGGACAGATAAAGAGCAAGAAGTTCCGCTGTTCTGGTAAATCTCTGTCCCTGTCCCTGTCCCTGTCCCTGTCCCTGTCCTTGTCCCTGTCTCAGCCTCTGTCTTTGTCTTTGTGTTTGTCTTTGTTTTCAAATGTCTCTTTATTTCCCCCCTGGTTTTCTTTACCTGTTGATCAACTTTGACTAGTCCTCTCTCACCTTTGTCTTCTGCTTCCTCTGGCTCCGTCCTCTGTGACTGTTCTCTCTGTCTCAACTGTTCCTTTACCTCTGACTAGTTTTGATGAGCGATAATTCCTGGCAGAAGATTTTTATTTTAACCATTTTCTGAGCTGTTGCTCCTCAATCAATATCTGCTCAGAAGGAGCTCAGGGCCAGAGAGAGCCGAGGAGGGATGGTTTGCTGTTTCTCCTCTTCCCTCTTCTATTTTACCACATTGTGAGTCTGGTTTCACATGCAAACCACACTGTGCTGAGATCACCAGTCCAGGCTGGTATAAGGGCTAGAGTTTCTACACGTGCCCACTGTTCCCTCTGCCTTCTGCCAACCTCCACTCCTCTCTCCCCCCTACCTTCCTCCCTCACAGCACTCCATCCCATCACTCTGTGACCACCATGCTCAGGTTTCCCTCTCGCCTTCTCAACCCTACGGTCTGTGCACCACCACTCCTCTCCAGCCTGCGTACAGTACGGTGTTTATGCACCCGGCTACGCTGTCTGGCTCTCTGCACGGCTGAGGTTTCACACATCTCCACAGCCTCATTTGTTTCACTCAACCTGGACCAGAAAAGTCCATGTGTTTCTTTTTGTCCTCTTTTCTTTCTGCCAGTTTGTTTTATCTCCGTCACCGTCTCCATTTTTCACCCACGTCTCTCGTCCTTAGCAACAACCAAATATTTATCGCATCGCCACATAGAGAGCGGGGTCTCTCGCTGCTTCCCTGTTGTACTGTCATGTGCCTTAAGTCATATATAGGTGTCTATATATGACTGTTGTGAAGCATAGCAACATCGCAGCTGTGTAGACCACTGACACACATCCCTCTTTCTTTTCTCCATCACAGCCAAAGAGCAGTACATCATCCCAGGTGAGTGTGAATGTGCACATTTGTTACTGTTTTCCTCTTGTCTTTTCATGTCCACCTGCAGCCACGTCAAAGCTTCATCTTCTTCATCTTCTCATATAAAATGATCCCACAGTTTAAAGTATATTTTTAGCATTTAAAACCTCTCGGTCAGGAATCAGGAATATTCACTGGTTCCATTTAAGATTCCACAACACTTTGGTGATGTTACATCTTAGCACACATGGAAGTCTTCAGTTTTTATAAAAACCCGAGGTGTCCACACTGCCGAAAATATGTTGTGGTCTAGAAAAGATGGCTTCCATAAAAGATCAAACTCCTGATGATAATAATAATAATAAAATATTCCTTTTGGGCTAAAAAAAACAATAATTTATCTTTTAGATTTCCAAGTGTGAGTCACAAAGTTCTAAGACAGATGTACTTCTGACAGCTTCTGATTTTAACATATAAAACAGGCTTTAAACAGCTTGACAAGTTTCATCAATGTATCTTTGTCAAGTGTTAAGCTGTGTGTTTTTTTTCTGATTTTTTTTATCCCTCAAAAACAAGCAATTTTAAAACCAGACCAAACATTATTTTTTTATTTTTTTGTTGTATGTTTAGCCCCTGATTTTGATCAGAAGTTTCGGCGCTTACCTTTATAATTATTCATGCAAACACAGAATGTGTGCAGACTTCTGCATGAGTTCTGAGGAAAAGGTTTCTTTGCTTTGGCACAAGTGACATATTAAATATAAAAAAGGGAGAAAATAATAGAGAAGGAAAGGGAGAACAGAGAAGGAGGAAAGTGTCTTCCTTTTTTTATCTATTAAAACAAACAGAGAACCCACCAGAGCACAGAGATTACTATCAGCGGATGTTTCAGCCTTCTGTACAACAGCACTTCCAAGAAAATAACTAGGAGGAGCAGTGGTGTGTGTTGAAGTGTGTATGTGTGGCATGGATCTCATTGTGTAAATTAATGTGTCTTTGTTTGCTTCTCTGGGATAAAGCTCGACATGTTTGGAGAACAAATGAGAATAATGTGTAAACAGAGTAGAGATCAAAGCCCGTTGTGAATAATAAGACTCAAAGCGTTCCTGTGTGATTACTGCAAAAACCCTCCACAGTACACAAGTAATGTGCATGCGTAGAGCTGACACAGTCACAGGGAGTACTGGGATTCCATAATGTACTCATAATGAGGAAGCAAGCTGCAGGGAATTGTGAGAACTGAAGCAATGAGTCATTTTGCAGCTCAGAGGAAAAAAGAAAAAAAAACCTCATCCCTCTCCTATGGTGCGCTTGAATTTAAATTTTCTGGCAGTAAAAGTGTCTCAGTCACCACACACAAACTTGAAGACGAAGATGACAGTGATGAAGAATATGACTCAGGCTCACACTACATCCTTGAGATCAAAGTGCCGTGTTGTACTTTCATTACTTCCTGTGCAGCAGGAAATGCCTCGTGCTGCCGTCTGGACCAGGAAAGAACAATTCCTTAATGACCTGCATTACTCTTGCATTACTTTCTACTCCACTGAGACACTCAGTAAAAAAAAAGTTCCAGGAAAAGTCATCAAACAATTCACTTTTTTTACTGCTGGACCACATTTTTATAAAGTCAAAAAAGTGGTTAGAATAAAGGTTATGGTTTTGACTGCCATTCAATGAATTCTGAAGCAGTTCTTAATACTGGACCGTAGGACTTGGTCTGGGTTGTTTGAGGTTTTGCTCTGCTCACGTTTGTGGTCCAGGAGCCTCACAGAGTTCTGCTGACGTAATCCTCGGACCTCTGAAAAAGAGGGAGCGCTGATGTGGAAAGGATCAGGAGACAAAAGGATATCCTAACACAAGATGCAGGGCTGTGCCAACTAAATGGAACACACACACACACACACACACACTCAGTGCCATGAGCGGCTCCCACTGCTGTTCCATAATTGAGCAGCTGTGATGTAACTGTCAGCGCACTTTTTGGCACGTAATGTCTATTCATAGTCAGAGGAGGTGCAGGGAAGGAAGTGTCTCGCCCTCGTCATCGCTGCCTCCTGTTCCTGCTCTTGTCTGTTCTGTGCAGCTCTCCAAATTACTTTACTTTTTTTCTCGTCTTTTTCCATATTTATTTGCAATTTTCTTTCCTGCATGCATTTATCTCCTGTCCTGCCCGTCTTTTTCCAGTTCTCTCTCTCTCTCCCATCCCCATGCACCTGTCTGGAAACTCAGTTCACCCACCTCCTCCTTCCAGCACCTCCTCTCCTCTCGGCGCTCTGCTTCAGTGGCTCTGTTCGTCCAAATCCTCCTTGGAAACTCTATCTCCGCTCCCTCCTGTTACTGTTGTTTTCAGACCACTGCTCACACACTGTCACCTCTCTAAACACTTTCACCTTAACCTGCACTTCCACTCTGCCTCACCCGTTTCACAGTCCACAGTAGGAAAGGACACAGAGTGTTCTTTAGTTAAACTTAGGTCACCTTAGGACAAACCGCTGACATGCAGCGACGGTTCGAGCAGATGCGTGACCAGGAGCATCATGGGAAAGTTTGAAGTGGGTGAACTTGGATGATGTCATTCAAATAAGTATTTTATGAGTACATTGTGTTTCTGTTCCTCTTCAGGTACCGAGGACACACGTCTGAATACTGCCTGTAACAGTGACCCGGTGTGTCCTCCCAAGTGTCGCTGTGAGTCCAACGTGGTGGACTGTTCCAACCTGAAGCTCACCAAGATCCCGGAGCAGATCCCATCATCCACCACTGAAATGTGAGGAATTAGGGGTGTAGAAAAATACACGTGAAATGTGAATGTCTGATACTGAAGTTATTTTAGCAGAGAAATTAAAAAAAAGCTAACAGTCAGGCAAAGAAGATCTGCTGAGGTCACTGAAGAAACACTTAGTTTCCTTTGGTTTGACATGTGAGAGGTTCAAGTGTTGTGGATTAAATCATGTATAAAGTAGCGTCCAATAATAGTGAAAATAAGTTTTTTTGTTTTAAGACTTGTTACCAACCAACGTTTATTTCTCTGTCTGTAGCCGCCTGAACAACAACGACATCACCGCCCTGGAGGCCACTGGAGTTTTCAAGAACCTTTCCCAGTTGAAGAAAATGTAAATGAAACTCTCTTTGTTTCTTCTTTAATCGTCCTCTGATTAATTTCTGGATTTATTGATCAACATCTTTATATATTTATTTTTTAAAAGAAACCTCAGCAACAACAAAATCACAGAGATCGAAGACGGAACATTTGAAGGTGCGTCCTCCGTCATTGAGCTTCATCTTACAGCCAATCAGATCGACTCGGTGCGCAGCAGGATGTTCCGTGGCCTGGAGGGACTGCGTATGTTGTAAGTGATCAAACAGTTAAACACAATCCAACCCACCACTGTGGACCTACAGGCTGACGTTGTTGTTCTTCCTTCACCTGTCAGGATGCTGAGGAACAATAAGATCAGCTGCGTCCACAACGACAGCTTCACCGGTCTGCACAACGTGCGGCTGCTCTCTCTGTATGACAACCAGCTGACCACTATCACACCTGGAGCCTTTGACACCCTGCAGACCCTCTCCACCCTGTGAGACCCCATCACATACACACCCGTTTAACGACGTCCCAAATGACGGGCATCATCATCATCATTTCTCAAATCTCTTCCCAGTAATCTTTTGGCCAACTCCTTCAACTGTGACTGCCGGCTGGCGTGGCTGGGCGATTGGCTGAGGAGCAGGAAGATCGTGACAGGAAATCCTCGCTGCCAGCGTCCTGCTTTCCTGAAGGAGATCCCTTTGCAGGACGTGGCTCTGCCTGACTTCCGCTGCGAAGAAGGTTAGACGATGTCTGATCAGGGTTTCTGCATTTCAGGAGTCAGAAGTTTTATATTGGTTCTTCTGTTTGAATGACCTCCACTCTGCGTTAAACTGCCGTGCCTCCGTTTGACTGATGAAGACAGTTCCAGGCTGTGTAATAGATTATGAAGGAGAGGTGTTTAAAGTGTCTGAGATCATCCTAAATAATGACCGCTATTGTGCGACTCCTTTTGTTTGCTGAATAGATTGCTCCTCAGCACTTCCTAAGCTTCCGGTCGATGCCTGGCTGAGTGGAGCTATTGAACTGTTTGCCTTATTGACCAGTCAGCCTATTTGCACCTGAATTAATGTTAGACTCATCTTCAGGCTCTGGACAGTTTTCGTTCTTCACCTTCACCGGTCGATATTACATTAGCGAAGCTCCTCTTGCCCTGTCCTGTAGCACCTGAAACATTTTTCACCTCCTCTTTTTTTTATTGTCCTGCTCCTCCTGCTCTGTCTGTTCCTCCAGAGCTCGCCTTTTGTCTGTTCTCCCACATATTTGTGTGCTTTACTGTGATTGACTCCGCTCCTCCTTTTTTCCCAGGCCAAGAGGAGTCAAGCTGTGTGCCCAGACCCCAGTGTCCCAGTGAATGCACTTGCCTGGAGACGGTGGTGCGCTGCAGCAACAAGCACCTCCACACACTGCCTAAAGGCATCCCCAGAAATGTGACTGAACTGTGAGTTCCTGGGTTCATTAACTGAATCTCTATCTTATCAGTGTGACTTCCAGGAATTATTGTTCCTGCCAGTGGCTTTGATAGTGGCAGGTCTAGTCAGGAAACCAAAGGAAACTGTAAAAAAGCTAGAGGCCACCTCAAAAGGTAAGAAAGTGATAAGAGTGGGAGGGAAAACAATAGAAGAAGAAACACAGATTCTATCAGTGGGAGAAGCAAAAGAGGAGTCGACGATGCCTGAGGTTATTCTCTCAGACATTCTTCTCCTGTGTTCTCTGCAACCCTGAGTATTAGCGGTGATGTCACTCTCCCATCCAGAGCCAGAGACCAGTGTGTGTGTGTGTGTGTGTGTGTGTGTGTGTGTGTGTGCATGCATGCACATACTTGTGTGATGGCCAAAAGGCTGTCCACAGGAGTACAGGGGAGCGAGAGGACATTTTAATGAGCAGTTTTCAATGGAAATGGAAGGGAAAGGAATGGGCCTGAAAGTTTCCAATACTACACAAGTGGTTTCAGCTCACTAAACACACACAAACACACACATGCTAAATGCATGCACATACTGTGCAGGCCTGGAGGCCTGTCATTGTCCCAGCAGGTGTGTCCAGGTGTTCTGGGCTTTCATCTCATCATCTGGAGACTTTGCTCCTCCGTCATTATCCAAAGTGTCCTCTACACCGTCATTACCCATCATTACCTCTGAACCCAGGCCACCCGCCCCATCCCCGCTCACCAACGACCCCCTCCTGCCCTTCCCACCCGGTGTACAGTCAACAACAATAGTGGAGAAAGCTCCCGGTGAGCTGTGCTCAGCCCCTAAATCACTCATTTATCATGGTGACAGCCCCTCTGGTAGCACTTTGTGTTGGCAGTCAGCAGGGTGGTTGCAGCCCCGCAGGCACGTCTCAAACGCGGCTGTGTTAACACACAAATGCATGAATGCACCCACAAGTGTCGCTGCAGAATGAAGGATGCTAAGTCACATTTAGGAACAAGAATGCTGCTAAATATAATGAGATTGCTGCCTTTGGCCAGTTGTTCAGTCCCGGAATTGATATATAATTATGTATGTGTCTGGAACAAAGTTGACTACTGGGTCTTATGCCGTCTCCATGTGCTGCTGCACTTATGGTAAAGAGGAGCGTCTGACGTGCAAAATGCAAATTACGTTGTAATTTGAAATTGTAGATTCAAATGCTGCGGGTTTATATACGAGGTTACGTGTTCTAAATAAAACATGTGAAGACACGTCGCTCTGGCACATCTCAAGAGGCTTGGACAATTTTTATCTTTATATTTTTGTGATGGTGTCCAAGGGTTGAGCTGTGACGCTTCATCTGAGCAGGTTTTTTTTTTACACTCAGAGCAAAGATCCAAATTTAGCCTAAACTTGAATGGCTAGACCTGTTCAAATGGTTTTGATGTAGCTGAAAAACTGAGGGAACATTTAAACATTTAAATTAATTTTAAACAAATTAAAGAAACTCACCTCCAGATGAATTGTTCATTTAAATTTAATTTAAACAAATTTTAACAAAGAAACTCACCTCCAGATGAATTGTTCATCCATCAATGGTCACTTTATCTTATTTTTATAACAAAAAAAATGTTTTTTTTTTATTTGTCTTAGAACATTTGACCGTCCTCTACATTGGTCCTGTATCTTATTCAAGTTGTTTGTGTGGAATCACATGATCACATGCACTGGTCTGATTTATTGGCTTCACTTTTAAAACTGTTTGATTTGGTCCATTTCTTCCAGGTATTTGGATGGAAACCAGTTCAGTGTTGTGCCAAAGGAACTGTCTGCTTTCAAATACCTACAGCTGGTGTAAGTATCTGTTATTTTTTATGTTATTTTTTAATATCCCACTCAGCACATTGAAACGCTCAACTGTTGCCATTTTTTAAATCCTCCTTCAGGGACCTGAGCAACAACAAGATCAACTCACTGACCAACTCGTCCTTCGCCAACATGAGCCAACTCACCACTCTGTAAGTCCTGACTGACCCCGGGCTGATCTTTCTCTTCTTTGTTATTTTTTTTTATATTCATATACGTCAGTCTGTATAACAGTATGTAATTATTTATTCATTCCAGAATCCTCAGTTACAACTCCCTGCGTTGTATCCCCAAAATGGCCTTCAGTGGACTGCACTCCTTGCGACTACTGTGAGTACACTTATACTCATGCAGTCAGTCTATATAGAGCAGGTTCTCAAACTGTGGTACGCGGGGAAAAGTCATTTTTTCACAGTTACATTTTCAGCTGAATAAATCTGAAACATACCATGCACAATTAATACAACATTTAAACGTAAACATCTTTATAAACATTTATAAACATCTCTCCTGTGGTGGAAGCTAATAGAGAAGGCCTCTGCTGCTATGTTCTAATGTTGGTCATCATGGTGGTACTCAGAGAGATCAGTGTTTTCTCAGGTGGTACAGAGTAGAAAAAGTTTGAGAACCGCTGGTATAGAGTGTGTATTTATATATGTGTACTTGTATATATAGGACCAAAAATCAGCTGTTTTATAAGAAATTATACATAAAGCTTTGTTTTAAGACATGGTCAGGTGTTTGGTCTAATTATCAAACTCACTGTAATGAAGTCAGTAAGACTGTAACGACCTGACCAAACAAATTTAAGTTTGACAAAGTTGCGATAGTTTAAAAAAAAAGTTTTCCAAAACACCTCTTTCTTTAACTGTTGACTTATTTTTCCAGCGTGTGACTAATCTGTGAGCTTCATTAGGTGTAACCTGTAGCAGCTCCACACTCTCTTCCATATGTAGCCTTTGTTTCTTGGCGTCTTCTAAAAGTGGAATGTTGCACATTAGAATTTTAGGCAGGAAGGAGACTATGGATGGATTTCTGCTTTGGATATTACATTATGTCCATGAGTGCCTTAAGTAAGTACATGTGTCTGTCTAGAAGTCAGCCTTTAAAGACGTTGCCCAAAGCAGCAACTTCTTCTCGGAACCAATGAAGTTATTGCCAAAGAGGAGTTCCAAAACAAGATAAGACTTTTGGGACTGACCTGATTTATGACAGAGGATATTTTTTCATCTTTGACTGAAGACGGGAAGAGAGCTGCAGATGCTGAGAGTGTGTGATTGACTCCAGAGGACTGAGCACAGTCTAAACACTTATGACAGCTTATGAATTCTCCCTCCTCTCTCTCTCTCTCTCTCTCTCTCACACACACACACACGCACACACACACACACACACACAGATACACATATACTCAACCTCTGGCCTGTTTTCTCTGTTCAAATGGCAGCAGCAGCAGCAGCAGCAGCAGCAGCAGTAGTGTTTCGGCTGCTACTGTTTTCTCGCCCACACCTTGTCTATAGACATCTGTACAGTCTGCCTGCTCACCTCCAAACATCCTGCGCTCATCACTGCCTCACTGCGGGGCCAAACATGCCCCCCTTCTGATTACGCAGGAATGTTTGCCCCGCTAACCATAATGGTTTTGACTCTGCGTCTGGGTTTTTATGAAGTTATGAGTTCTTTGATTGTGCGATCCCCGTTGCAGCGGGTTCCCCCACCGTGGCCGAACCGGTCTGCGAAATAACTGAGACATAGAAAGCAAATGTGTTTGACAGATTGATGTTTAAGCTAAACCAAATCTTTGGACCCACATCCAAAGATACAGCAGCTGGATGGTTCACACTTTTACTCTGTTGTACAGTTTGGCTTCACAAGAAAGAGAAAGCGCCCAGACAGCAGCATTCCATAAGGGATCACTGTATGTACGCACATGTGTATGCGTCTCTATCTGCATTCGCAGCCTACATGTTTATCATCTGCTCGCTGCGGGAGAATGTGTGTGGGAGAAGACGCAGCAACCTTCCATGTGTGCTCCTAGCAGGCACACTTTTTACTACGGACACAGAAAAAACACAAAGACTCTGTTTTACAGCGAGATGCAGCTAATGCCCTGCATCATTATGAGACACAAAGCATAAGAGCCCCTTTTAGCGTAACATTAGAGTGAAGCTGGGTCATCATTAACTGATGCCGCCTCGCTAGGCCCGGGCCGCGTGGCTTTGATCTCTAATGAAGCTGCAGCCGTTATTTCTGCTCTTACTCACTCACGCCACCTTCGCTTCTGAACTATTCCCTGTGCAAGTGAGCGAGACGCCATGTGAGGCCCGGAGCCAGCACCGCACACACATACACACACACACACATGCAGGCGGAGTGAGTCTGGGCCACTTTCTTGTCTCTGTCAGACCTGAGTCCAAATGAATCAGAAAACTTTGATGTATTTACTGCTGGTGTGATCAATCATGAGAATCTGGCTTTTTTTTATTTAGCAAGGCTTTTAGGGGTGCAACAAAGAGAAGCGACAATGAACTCCGTTTATTGGTTCCAACTTCAGGACTCGAGCCCAGGTTCAAAGATGGAAGCGTGGTAGAAGCGTAGATGCTGAAGCCAGCTGCGAGTGAGGAAAAAGTGCAGCTCACTCACACGTGGAGGTGCCAGAGCTTTAATAAAGCTCCACCTTTGGTTTTAAAGAGCAGTAAAGAGGAGAAGAATCATTAACGCGCAGAACTTCAAAAAGGCTGAGGTTGGCATGGATGTGATACGGTGGAGAGCAAGTGTGTGTGTGTGTGTGTGTGTGTGTGTGTGTGCTTTTCTGTGGTTGTGTCTGATAGTTAACTGTACATTAATAAGCTGCTAATTAGCCTGCTGGGTATAAGACGTGATGTGAGTGAGCTTAGAGAGTGATGCGGTGCAGTGAGCCAAGGTTTAACACATGCTGTAGTTGTGGGAGAAAAAATTAAAGTTTTAGAATAAAAGTTTGATTACGTTAAAGAAAGAAACAAACCGATATAAAGAAGTAAGGAAAACTAATCACCAAAAAAGAAAAAGAAACAAAGACTGGAAGTAGAAAAAATAGAGAAAAAATGAAACAAACAGAGACATAAAGACAGAGATTGATAGACTGATTGATATAAAAAAGAAACAAAATAGAAAAAAATGTAAAAATCTTTGTGTTTTTTGTTGTTGTTTGATAATTAACTATAGAAGAAACACAATAACATGTTTTACTTTACTTTACTTAATATGCCTTAGTGGATGTGCACCCTCTACTGGTTGCATTACTCCAATACATAATATTTAAGGTCCAGAGAAATGACTTGCAGATAAGAGGAATCAGAATTAGTTGAATTGAATCAAATCACGTGAGTCCAGAGTCTGAGCAGAACCGTGGAGCTCAGAAGGCCCACAGCATCATTACCAAGGATCAGAAACGATGTCAGTGTGAAAACTGTGAGGGAGTCCAGTTACACAGTCAACCATAGTTTGAACACAGTTTCAGCCAACATCGTCATTCTGCCTTACATCAACTTCAATCCCGTTCTCACATCTTTGCCAGGATGGAGAATAATTGAAAAGAAAGGGAGTGATGCTCCGTGTATCAAAAGAGAGGGAGTGAAGGAGCAGCTCAGGTTTCCTACTGAAGACTCTCTGGCTCCTTTAACCCAGGAGATCTGTGCCTGACTGGCACAACGCTGCTGCTGCTGGTGCTGCTGCTGCTGCTGGCCTCGTGGCATCTGTATCATCATTATCCTTCGACTACACAATCCTCTCTCTGCACCAGTGAACACTCTGCCAAGGTGGCTCACACCAAGGCCCCCGACGTTGTTATGGATCAGTGGATCAAACAAAGGAAGTGTGTTTTTAAAGCACGTCAGTCGTCACGTGGAGCACGCGTGTGATGTTCCGTAGTGTGGACAGAGCTGTGCTAACAATAGCCTGTGGTCAGCTGAGACACAGAGGTGGTAATGACCCGATGGATCACAGAAGCCATCAGTCAACTTGCTGTTAGCTTATGTTGTCCTATCAGTCCTGACCTGTGGCTCAGCGAGAGCTACTGCATGAGGAGAGGAAACAAGTGATGTCGTTCAACTGTTCCTGACCTTTCACCTCAGGTTTTTGTACACTTGTTGGTCCTATCAGCTTCACACATTGGAACCTGACACCAGTCTTTTTTCAGACTTACAGATCCTCAACAATCGCACGCAGTACAAACCCACTCACAGGACATAGAGTTGGCCCACACAGAAACAAATGTTCACCCGCGTTTACCCTAACGGCTGTGGTGTATGTTGTCAGGAAACCATGTGACAACTCATACATTTACACAATGGGCTGAATCAAATCTTTTCTTTTTTTTAAGTTGGTAAAGTTTGCCCCTATGATTTGGGTCTGTTTTTCTGGGAAATTTACCAGTGTAAACATAATAATAATGAAAAAAAGAAGAGGAAAGAAGCAAAGAAAAAAAGACCTAAAAGTGCGAAAGAGAGAACTATTCAGAGACAAAGACCCACATAAAAGACATAGAAACATTATAATATAATATATACTTTAATTCTTGCTTACTCTAATTGTATTTATGACAACAACTGTGTAACATGTTGTGATGTCACTTCATCTGAATCCAGTAAACACGTCCAGGACCACACTGGAGAACAGTGACAACACTTCAAATGTGTTTTTATTTATTTTATTTTATTTTATTGAGCTCAAAATAATGTTTTCAAGATGAGTGCTGTTTAATTTCATTTCACTTTTGTTCTGAGATGAAAGATGAAAGTTTTTCTCTGTTAATACTTTGTTTTTTGTGTGTCTTCATTTCAAAGGTCTCTTCATGGGAATGAAATCTCTGAGCTTCCTGACGGCATCTTCAACGACGTTGCTGCCCTCTCCCACCTGTGAGTCGTGACACAGACACAGAAATATGTCCCTGTGGTGTTCTCTGTGATACTGTCTGACTTTGTGAGGTCTACACACACACACACTCCTGTAGGGAATGAGGGGGTCTGGTCTGGACCGTCGGCGAGTGTAGCTCACAGTGGGCTGTCTGTAGTCCTCTTTGGTGGGCTCCTCATGAGCCGACCCCCTCCTTCCTTTCATCAGCCACAGTCCTGCGGTCACAGCACCACACAGACCCCACTACTGTCTCATCTGCCTGTGACATCGCTGAAACACACACACACATTCTCCATGGTCTGTGGGCTTTTGTGTTTGTTTTGCTATGTTTATGTATGTCTGTAATTGTGTGTGTGAGTCTACGGGCTGTGCAGCCCGCACATGGACTTGTGTAAAACTATCCAGAGGTGTCTTTGCTTGCCTGCCCTGACTGTGGCACAGTCCACATCTTCACGTCATTCCCTTTGACAGAGGCTGATCAATAGACCTATCAGTGTCAGGGCTGCAGAGGAAGCAGGGAGAGTGAGGGAGGATGGAGTGGACGCCAAACAAAGACGTTTTATGGAAAGGACAGGACAGGTTCAGGGCCGCAGGAAAACAAGGTGAAGGAAAGGGTGAAGGGGAAGCCATTGATCCACGGTCACACTCAAGTGGCTTTGGTGTTAGCAGATGTCAGGTGTCAGCGTTTGGCCCGGCCTGAAAGATGAGAGCGTGTTTAGCTGTAATGGAACGGCATCGATTCAGGAGTGTTTGTGCATCAGGCAGCAGGACAGAACTGCATTTATTCACGAGCACCGTGACAGAGGTTGTTAGAAGTGCCTTCTGTTCACACCTTGGCCTTTAATGGAGGAGCCGTCCTCAAGAGGAGGCAGCACTTTTAACCTTAACTCAGCTTTTTCTTTTTTCTTTAGTTTCTTAGGGAAGCAGTTTTGTTTCTGCTCGATACAGAGCCGTATTGGCCAAGGCTTGATTTTTGTGAAGCTTGACATACATCTAGTGGTGAAAGTCTAAAACTGCATTCAGACTAAGCCAGTAAAAACATAGTTACTGTGTAACTTTTCCCTCTGTTATTTGAAATACCATAAGTTTTAATAAGAATAAAAAGTAAATATGAGAGAATACAGTTCAATGTGAGACAGAGAAGCAAAGAAGTTCTTGATGTATAGATGTACTTTAAGTCTGGATTTGACTCATTCATTAGTATTAAATGCCCATAGGTTATGACAATAGTGCAGTACATAATGTCATTAATGCAGTACTTCTCAAATAGTGGGGCAGGTCCCCTTTGGGGGCGCAGTGAGGGACTTCCAATGGAATATGGCATGCTAGACATACACTGCTTACCCTGCTGTAATGCTTGAATGATAACATGCCTCCAGTCACTAGGTGGCAGCAACTCATACAGTGGTTTGTACAGGTAAGAATATACGTTAATATATATGTTATCAGGTTCTCAATAGTAATTCAGTTCGTAGGGGGGTGTGGGTCGGAGGGGGGGGTGAAAACATTTCTATCCCCAAGGGGGCGCCTGATGGAAACTAACTGAGAACCACTGCATCAATGCTAGGTTTAACTGTGCTCTTACTGTGCTTCTTCAGGGCAATCGGTGCCAACCCTCTGCACTGCGACTGCCACCTGCGCTGGTTGTCCGACTGGGTGAAGACAGGATACAAAGAGCCGGGCATCGCCCGCTGTGCCAGCCCACATTTCATGGAGGGCAAACTGCTGCTCACTACTCCTGCAAAGAAGTTTGAATGTACAGGTGAGTGGATTTAAAAAGAAAACCTGACCCTCGTTACACGTGTGTGTTGATGGATCGATCATCTTTGCTCTGGGTTTTTCCCTCAGGAGATGTGGACACTGTGGTGTTGGCCAAATGTAACCCCTGTCTGTCAGGCCCCTGTCTGAACCAGGGCATCTGCCACAGTGACCCCGTGGAGGCCTACAGGTGCAGCTGTCCTCCAGGCTTCAAGGTCAGAACTTTGACTCATTTTTTTGTTTTGTTATTTCTTTAACTTTTACGTTTTCATTTCGATGATTTATGTGTGAAAAAGTAAAAAAAAAAATCATTTTTTCTCAGGGTAAGAATTGTGAGACAGCACTGAACGCCTGTGTAAGTAACCCCTGTTCAAATGGAGGGACCTGCCAGTTGAATGAGGATGAGGAGGGAGAATACAGGTGAGAAAGACAACTTTTTAATGTGACTTTGGTAAAATGATGGGGCAGAGGGGAGAGAAGGGAGCAGGAGCAGACAGTACATCATACATGTTTGTTTCACAGTTGTACTTGCCCCCTGGGCTTCGAGGGTCCCACTTGCCAAACCAACATCGACGACTGCGAAGACAACGACTGTGAGAACGGAGCAACCTGCCTGGACGGAGTCAACAACTACACCTGCCTGTGTCCCCCATATTATACCGGTCAGTGGAGCTGACCCCACAGTCTCATGCTAATGGCTAACAGACGTGTTATTTGTTTTAGTGGCATGAAGATTTGCTTTTAGCTTTCTCTAAAATCAGTGATTATTATCTTAATACTTCACACAGTCTACAGTAAATGTTAAAGTCCATTCATTTTATATGTGTTTTTCCAGGTTTACAGTTTGTTCAGATTTCATGGCAGTGGTTGCACAAAGCCATGATTTTATGTAAACAAAAAAACATGGAGTGCCTTAACTTCTAATTGCCTTTGTCTTTGAAGGGGAGATGTGTGAAGAAATGGAGGACGTGTGTGCCCCAGGACGAAGCCCCTGTCAACACGACTCCACCTGCCTCATCACCTCCAACGGACCAAAGTAAGACTTCACTGTTGGATTTAAAGGAGACTGTGTTGGGGTTTTTTTGTTGAAAGATTGAATCCACTGACTCCTGTGTGTGTGTGTGTGTGTGTGTGTGTGTGTGTGTGTGTGTGTGTGTGCAGGTGTGTGTGCTCTCCTGGTTATGTCGGTGATGACTGCAGCGTTGATTATAACGACTGTGAGGAGCACCGCTGTCAGAACGGAGCCAAGTGTGTGGACGAACTCAACGGATACTCGTGCGTCTGTCCTGAAGGATACAGGTGAGAAGACAGGACATGAATGCACCTTTTTTTAATCAGCTCTCAGGTCTGTGATGAGCCGAAAATAATCTCCTCATTTCTTTGGTCGTGCCTAGCGGTCAGCTGTGTGAGGTTCCTCCCTCTCCTCTGTCTCTGTGTGAGCTGGCCGACTGTCAGAACAAGGCTCCGTGTGTGGAGCGAGGTGGACGGGCCATATGTCAGTGTCCTCCAGAGTTTGGAGGACCACGCTGTGAGAAGTTGGTCAGTGTCAATTTCATTGACAGGGACTCCTACCTGTTGCTCTCTGACCTGAAGAACTGGCCCCAGGCCAACATCACCCTCCAGGTAGTCAGTGACCCACAGCCTACTGTAAACACGTCTGTGACTCCGGCAGCAACTCAACCTTTTAAAAAAGAAATAATTTAACAACACCGTTTCCGTCCTGTAGGTGTCCACGGCTGAGGACAATGGAATTTTGTTGTACAATGGAGACAACGATCACATCGCAGTGGAGCTTCACCAAGGTCACGTCAAGGTCAGCTATGACCCGGGCAGCCAACCAGGACATGCCATTTACAGGTGAGGTGCCATTGAAATGCTTCACTCTACTGCCCCCTGTTGGGTGATGTGATCTTTATATATATTTATATATATATAAATATATATATATATATTCTTGATTGTTTTTTTTCATTTTCCAGTACTGAGACCATCAATGATGGCCAGTTCCACACGGTGGAGCTTGTGACCTTTGACCAGATGGTGAACCTGTCTATTGATGGTGGTCTCCCAACCACAATGGACAGCTTCGGGGCAGTGCGGCCCCTCAACGGGGAGGCTCCACTATACGTGGGGGGTAGGGGCCCTCTCCAGAACACACCTTCCTCCTCTGCAGGCACTCTTATCTACTACACTACTGTCAATCACCCCCCTCCCCTCCGCTTTGTCACCACCGCAACCAGTCCCTTTCCTTTTTAACCATGCGTCTTACATCCAATCAGTCCCCACACCTACACTGTAATCTCACCTTCAGTCATGACTGTGATTGGCTAGACCCCCCCTCCTCCATCCTGCATCCAATTACTTATTGAAAATAAGTAAATACAAATTAATATTGCAATACTTTACAAATATTACATTTACTTTCATTACAACATTTTTCATTGTCCAGTGGCCACTTAAAGAACTACCAAACACAGTCCAAGCTGTTCTAGTTTTGCATGATTCATGCTTGTACAAAACCATTCAAAAAGATGGATTATTTTATGAAATTGGAGTCACTCTCAATATTTTTCTTTTTAAATATATACATTTTTCAATATATTTTCAATCTCAAATACTTTTCCATTGTTTGTCACAGAGTGGCTCAGGTTATAGTGTCAGTGGTGTGATGTAATGATGTCGTGTTGTGTTCATCCTTACACGATATACAAACATTTTCTTTGCCTTTATTTTTCTTTCATTTCAAGTATAATGTGTCTAATGGTGCATATGTAAATGTTCTATTCCCGTTCTTCAATCATGTTGTGGAATTCATTTAAAAAATGCATATGCTCTGTTTGGACACATATATTTGAAAGAACAATCCTCCATCACTCTCATATCAGCCCTGTGTTAACTGTCTGTGTCTGTGTCTGTGTGTGTGTGTGTATGTGTGTGTCTGTCTGTCTGTGGTCCAGTTTGCAAATCTCCACACTTGTAAACATCATCTTTTTTTTCCATCAATGATGGCCAGTTCCACACGGTGGAGCTTGTGACCTTTGACCAGATGGTGAACCTGTCTATTGATGGTGGTCTCCCAACCACAATGGACAGCTTCGGGGCAGTGCGGCCCCTCAACGGGGAGGCTCCACTATACGTGGGGGGTAGGGGCCCTCTCCAGAACACACCTTCCTCCTCTGCAGGCACTCTTATCTACTACACTACTGTCAATCACCCCCCTCCCCTCCGCTTTGTCACCACCGCAACCAGTCCCTTTCCTTTTTAACCATGCGTCTTACATCCAATCAGTCCCCACACCTACACTGTAATCTCACCTTCAGTCATGACTGTGATTGGCTAGACCCCCCCTCCTCCATCCTGCATCCAATTACTTATTGAAAATAAGTAAATACAAATTAATATTGCAATACTTTACAAATATTACATTTACTTTCATTACAACATTTTTCATTGTCCAGTGGCCACTTAAAGAACTACCAAACACAGTCCAAGCTGTTCTAGTTTTGCATGATTCATGCTTGTACAAAACCATTCAAAAAGATGGATTATTTTATGAAATTGGAGTCACTCTCAATATTTTTCTTTTTAAATATATACATTTTTCAATATATTTTCAATCTCAAATACTTTTCCATTGTTTGTCACAGAGTGGCTCAGGTTATAGTGTCAGTGGTGTGATGTAATGATGTCGTGTTGTGTTCATCCTTACACGATATACAAACATTTTCTTTGCCTTTATTTTTCTTTCATTTCAAGTATAATGTGTCTAATGGTGCATATGTAAATGTTCTATTCCCGTTCTTCAATCATGTTGTGGAATTCATTTAAAAAATGCATATGCTCTGTTTGGACACATATATTTGAAAGAACAATCCTCCATCACTCTCATATCAGCCCTGTGTTAACTGTCTGTGTCTGTGTCTGTGTGTGTGTGTGTATGTGTGTGTCTGTCTGTCTGTGGTCCAGTTTGCAAATCTCCACACTTGTAAACATCATCTTTTTTTTCCCTCCTCTTCCTCCAGGAATGCGGGTGGATGTGCATTCCAGTGGTTTATGGCAAATCCAAAATGGCTCCAGTTTCCACGGTTGCATCCAGAACCTTTACATCAACAATGAGCTGCAGGACTTCACCAAGACCCAGATGAAGCCCGGTGTGGTTCCAGGCTGTGAACCCTGCAAGAAACTCTACTGTGTTCATGGCATCTGCCAGCCCGATGGAGTCCACGGACCAGTGTGTCACTGCCAGCCGGGCTGGAGCGGACCACACTGTGACCAGCCTGTCAGCAACCCCTGTCAGGGCAGCAAGTAGGTCAACAAAAGAACAAAAATAATGCAACGGCAGTTCATGTGATTTTTTTTCACATGAACTGGTTGCATTTTGTCCTAAATGCAACCTTCATATTCCAACATTTTTTGTCTGTTACCAGAAACCTTATAAACTTTATAAACCTGTCCATGTTTTTTTATTAGGTGTGTCCATGGGAAGTGCATCCCACTGGACTCCCAGTCATACCGCTGTGAGTGTGACGAGGGTTACCGCGGTGCACTCTGCAACCAACAGGGGGAGCTCTTCAATCCCTGTCGGCGCTTGTCATGCAAACACGGTCGCTGTCAGATCTCAGACACGGGCGACGCCTACTGTCACTGTGAAAGTGGTTACACTGGTCAACTGTGTGACACAGGTTGGTGTTCTCATTGTTCACTATTTTTAAAAATAAATAGAACCACTAACGAGTGATTTCCACCTTCCAGAGTCAGAGTGCCGAGGAGAGCCCATGCGCGACTACTACCAGGTCCAGCGAGGCTACGCCATCTGCCAAACGACACGTGTGGTCTCTTGGGTGGAGTGCACAGGGGCTTGTGACACGGGGGCCTGCTGTGCCAGCCAGCGGATGAAGCGCCGGAAATACACCTTTGAGTGCAGCGATGGAACCTCCTTCTCCGAGGAGGTGGAAAAGACCATCAAGTGTGGCTGCGTGGGCTGCATGTAGCAACATTCACTCATTTCCAACCACTGCTGTGGAGCAGAAGAAAGAGTAGGATGAAAAGAAGAAGTAGAAGAAGAAGGAGAAGGGAAGGAAGAGAGGACGAGAGGGGAAAAAGCAGGAGAGAGAGATTATAAAGAATATATATAAAACCTCTATCTATATATTATGAACAATGTTTGTAAAATAGGACATTTTCCTCCCCTTCCAAGGGTGTGTGACCTACAGTAACACAGAGAAACCAACACCGCCAACAACACCCATTGTTCCTGCAACATTGTTCCATGGCTCCAGACATTTGAAAGGTGTTAAGGAATCCCACCAACCCAGTTAGCCCAGTGTGAATAACCCCATCCATCTGTGAGGCCCCAGTCACCATCTCCAATATTTACTTTGTGGAGGCAGTGAGGACAAAAGCGGTCCAGTCTGGAAGGAGAAAGCAGAAGAGGAGCAGTGAAAGAAGCTGAGAGACACAAAGAGAGCTGGAGCGTTGGACTTGGCGGAGCTGTCTTGAGTTGAGCTTGGCTGGCCAGGACTGGACCGGAATGGACTAGGCTGGACTGGACTGGATGTGGTGTTCGGGATCGAGTTGTCGTTGGCTAACTGTAGCAATCACTTTTTTCCTTAACAGGATTCAGTCCAATCCAACCACGTACATGCACATGTTGAAGCAAAGAACAAGGAAACGTTGACAGAGTTAGAGCGGCACATAATCCAGTGCAGATGTCACGGCGACGAAGGCCACAAGGTTCGGTGACGGTGGTCACAGTGGTATAAGCTGTGAGGTACTGCAACGTAGACACTCCATGACAGTAGAGACTGCACTGAGCGGCAGCACTGAACACACACACACACATGCATGACATGATACATACATTCACCATGAATTACATGGGAAAGGCGCAAAAACACAGATTCTCTTCTGATTGCAAACAAGTCTGAAGGTTGTCGGGCCCGGCCGTCATCAGTCACCCAGCATGCATTGCCTCAGGGTTAGGATGATTTTCAAAAGTCCCGCCCCCTTTTGTCAAGCAGGAGCCCCGCTCCACTTGATGCTTGCAGTATTAAAAACGATTGCATGTGTGGAGAGAGTTTGCCAACAGTAGAGCTTTCTAAAATGTCACTATAAATGTACGGATAAAACAGAAAAACAAGAAACAAGGTCGCAGAGTCCTCTCTGAATTTTTTTTTATTCGTTGTTTCTGATTTCTCATATTGATTTTGTTATATTTTGTTATAATTTTCTTATGATGCAACCTAACTCCTCTAGCTGCCCCTACCCCATTCCCTTTGTGCCTCTCCCAGCATCCTCTTATATAGAAATACCATAACAGATTCTAATATATATATATATATATTTGTATTTCATTTTGGTATAGTATTTTTCTATGTTAAAGAATATGTCTGTTTTTAAACCTCTGGGAAGGCCTTCACTTCTCTGAGTGCTTTGGGTTTTCTTTTTTCTTTTTTTTTTTTGTTGTTTTTCTTTTTTTATTTACTTTTTTTTAATTGCGCCAGCAAAATAATTCATAACATTAATTGGCCAAAAATACAGCTGAAGGTTGACCTTGTTGTATGGTGGCAGTATTGGTCTAGAAATATGTTTAATATTGTATATGTTGTCTTCCATGTGAATATTACATCTAATTCATGAGAGTATGTGCTTCTTTTTTATTTATTTTTACCTTATGTTTTTTTCCCTGCAGTAAGTAAAAGACAGACACCAAATGTTGATGACTTTCAAACACCCGGACAAGGTAAAAATAATAATAATGATTATAATAAAACACATTAAAATTCTTTTAGGTATTTTTACCATCAAAGGCGAATGACAGTGTTTTTCTCCTGTGTGGCCCAGATCATCAGTAGCTTGGCCACATCCACACTACTCTGTACAGTATTTGGACTATTTCAGAAACATTGACCTGGTAAAAACAAAGAGTAACTACTATGATGTGAAATACACTACAGATGTGTCAAAATGTTGAAATATTAATACATTTAAGTTTTTAGGTGCTTGTAAATACATTTAATTTAATTTGAATTTGGTTTTGAAAATACACAAATCCTGATTTACAAAAGTATTTTGTTGTTATTCAGAATGACATTATTATAAGAGTAACTCAAAAGATGCACGTGTACAGAGCAGTGTGGATGCAGCCTCTTAATAATCCCACCACCAAAAGAAAATTTAAACACTTCCATGATGATTTTTTTTTTTTTTTACTTAAATGCTTGGTTGTACTGCTACATTTGAGAAATGTTTGCCATGGGAAGATGTTTTTTTTATTTTATTTTTTGTAATCAAGCTCAACTAATTATAAGCTGCTGTCAAGCCAGAAGAAACAGGACAAAGTTGCCTCTGTGAACAGTCATTAAAAAAATTGGCAAATGTGCCAGGATCTGGGCAACTCTGTGAAGCATTTACATGTCTACTGATGATGATGATGATGATGATGATGACGACGATGACCATTAAATGAGGAAATTCTGGAGGGACTGTCAGTTCTGAATGACCGTCCATACAGAATTAAATAACCAGTGCCAATTACAGTGAACAGAACAGTCATATCTGAATGTATAAATGTGTATATATAAATATAAGCCTATGCTTACTCATGAAGTGGTAACTTTTAGCTGTTATTTAGTTTTCAGTGTGAGATATACAGTAGAAGTCACATGGTTACATGCCTATACATAGTGGGAAAGGCTGCAGACTTGGTACAATTTAACGGTATTCCCAGAAGTTTACTCTGTTTAACAAACTGTTGATGTCAACCTAGTGGTCTGTGACAACATTGCAACTAGATCTCTTTAATGGTATTTGACAAACAGTCACTGTATATCTTCACAGCTCAAGCCAAGTGGCTTTTTCTTCGTGTCTTTCATTCAATAATCTGCACTGCCCTCTAGTGGACTGGTGCGTTCAGCCTCCTGGTGGACATCTTAGCAGTGCTCGTGCTATATTTGGATGTAACCCATTGATCTGATGACAGGACTAGACACATAGACTTTCCATCATATGAACTATACTGCATACATGTGAGTGTAAACAACACGATGTCTCTGTTGTAATGAACCAGTGAAAACATTTACATATATATCTGGTTGGGTTCTGTCTGTTTGCTCCTTTTGTTACAGGATTGTTGTTGGACTTAAAAACTCAATAATACTGAATGTACGTAGTGCCACCGACAAATGTTTACCAATCTCCACTCTTTTCATTAATTAAACCTAAATGTGTGTGCTTTTAAGGGGGCATTGTCCATGTTTTTGTTTGTCCTACATCATTACTAGGATGTATGACGATGTATGCAATTTGTGTTAGCAACGCTAACCGATCGCGAATTAGCAGCTAGCTGATGCTAAAGGATTGGGGCGAAGACTGCTACCGTCATTTTTAGATGCCAACTTGATTCTAACCTTCAACCTATACAACCTATGCTCTTTAAAGTTAGTTTTCCTTTAGGTGAAAACAAGTAACCTCACATTAACAAAGATGGAAATTCAAAAATGACATTTCATGCGTTCCTTATTTGGGTCTTTGTTGTGTACTTGTTAAAAGCTGTAACGTTACTTTTACTTAAGTATGTTTTGTTTAAATTTTGTACTTTGGCACATGTTAAGTCGCAGTAAAAAAGTTATATATTTTTTAAACTGTTAAAATAATTGCGCCCTGGACCAAGTTCAAGTCCAAGTTTTCACCGGAGTTTCAAAGTTTCCAACAGTACTTGAACGCACCTCGTGTGACAGCAGCAACACGGTAGCTAACGGCGGAGGACGAGCGAAGGAACGAGCTTTTTACAGCAGCGGTCCCCAACCTTTTTTGTACCCAGGACCGGTCGGCCGGTATCAGCCGTTACTGTGGACCGGTAATATTGTACCACCTTTGATGCATCATTCAATTTTCAAAATAAAACATCTTTTAGGATTTATTCTGTTAGTGTCGCAATCTGAATGACCTATTGTTTTGAGATTTACTCTGTTAGTTTCGCAATCTGAATGACCTATTGTTTTGAAACCTTATTATTACCAGATTATCTTTAAATGAAAAAAGGTAAAGGGGTATAACTGGAATCGTTTTAAATGAAGTAAATTAGTAAAACTGAAGTATATTTTTGCATTTTGTCCCAATGTGCCGCGGTACCAAGTGACTAATGCACCGGCACCGGTCCCCGGACCCCGGGGCTGGGGTTTTCTGTTTTGCAGGATCCCAAAAAATCCCAGAAGTGGTGGACCGCTTTTAAAGAGGAGATCCAAAACAAACAGAGGGACCACAAAGGCAACGGGCTTCGGCGATCGCTTTATATCAGGTACAGAATCGAATGTTTCCTAACTTTAATATCGTGTTTATTTGACATGTTTGACACGGACAATTTTAACAAACGATATTTTATTTTTTATCAGTAAAAGTTCTGCACTTACTAGTAGTAATACCATTATCAGTAGCAATGGCACTAGTTCTGCTTGTAATAATCTAAAAGATTATTACAAAAGTTCGAGATTTTACTTACTTAATGGAACTGGCTGTATTACTCCTGGTAAACCAACTGCTACAACAGTTAGCTCAGCGAAATATTGTTTAATGGATTGGTGTACATTTTTATGGTGTACAAAATCCACATTTATGCATTTAAATAATGTAGGATTATACATCCTACATGCTTTAAATGTTGTGTGGTAGCGTGTTTTATTTATAGAATTTAATTTATCTATGTTTCAACAAAAACATACACACACTAGACCCTCAACACCCGCTGTTAAAAAAGTAACCATGTAACTTTTTCTCTAGTGCCATTTTCACACTCAACATGAGTCAATTCATTAATGCATAGAATATTCCAGCAAAATTAAAACAAAATTGAACAAATGACTCGTAAAACTCTGAGTAAAATTCAAGCATCTTTATATCAATTCCAGAAAAAATACAAAGTTCTTAACAGAGTTGTATCATTCTTGGGATTACCACAAATAAAGCAGTTTTTTTCTTTCAAATATACAAAATCAACACCTTTAAATAGCAACTGTAAAGAAGAGACATGTTTGTGGCAGATGTTTGATGGGACATTTGGGATTTTATGAAGTCATTAGCCTGCGTGGAGATTTTTTAAATAAAATAAACACACGACAGGCATGATGAATAATTTACCCTCCCAAGAGAATGGACTGTAATAAAAATATAGATAATACTGTGCCAAAAATGGTTATTTTCCTTTGACATACACTAATGCAAATAACTAAAGTGGAAGTTAAAAAAAAATCTTCACATTCTGAGAACATTCGACAGCTACTAATAATAAAAACGATAACAGAAACATACATGGAAGTAACTGGACCATTTCAGCAATTGGGTTCCAAAGAATGAAGAACAAGGAAAAGAAAAACAGATCACCCTGTAATGTTCCTTTAATGCTTAGGAGGTCAAATATGTCATTAAAAAAAAAAAAAGAAAATGTCAATTCCATGTTGGTTAAATACAAAGATCTGACCAGGTGTATGTAAGCCAAATATATACCTGTTCATCACAAATGACTCTTCTGAATTTTTTACATTTCAAATGTGCGCAAAAACGTGCATGCATATCCTCGTTTGGGGTGAGTTTTTTTTGAAAGTCCATGTTTACAGAGCAGAGGGGTTTGTAAATCTCTCTCTTAAAAGAAAAGACACGTGCAGCAACTGGTCAAATATTACACACAATTTCACTCCCATTGGCAGCCAGCAGATGGAGCAAGAATTCGGTGACAGCAAGGCTGAGGAACAAAAACTAACCACAACGCAGCTTCATAAATATGCTTTTGTCATGACACCTATGGTGGTTACAAGTCTGGTTTTTAACAATAAAGCCTGGTGTTTACGTCAACACTGTAATAATTTTTATCTTAATGCTCTGGGGGAAAACGAGATACATAAAATATACTTTTTTAATTAAGGTTAGAATTTACAGATAACTTACAACAAACCTAATGTGGGATACCCGAAGCTGTTATGACTAGAGCGGAAGAAAAAAAAATTCACATTAACACATTGTATAGTTTTACACTTTATAAATAAGGCACCTGGTCACAACAGTCACACAGTTCACAGAGTTGTGATTGGAAGACGGTCAGGGATATACACCACCTACTGACTGTCTGTTTGAAGTTTCAATTCAAAATCTCATATCCTGTTCCTATTATTCCCTATGATCTAAAACGACTGTTTTATACAAGTAAGAAACTGATACAAAGGAGGGAAGCTGAATGGACGCCTAACTGTGTCATAACTTTGTTTCTCCACAGCCGTGCTGACTGATGGAACGCAACATAAAACAGCAACTACATCAGCAAGACCCAAGGCAAGACTGGTGTGTATTCTCGCAAATGATCAGAAAAATAATTAACTACATTTGTGATTTAGTTTTTTGAGCAGCTTAACAAATGCACGAAAGATCTTTCTTCCTAAATGCTCCTTCATCGCTGGCTGAACAAAAGCTCTCCTGGACATTGAAAGTTCTTCTCAATGTTTCAGGTTCATTTATTTTAAGAGTGACATCCTGGTGCGTTTAGCTGGGGTCTCTGACAGATCCTGAGGTCTCTTAGCTCCTGCTTTTGTTGCGCTGCGTGGCAGCAACACCGCCTGACTTCTCTTTGCTGCCCGCTTTAAAGCCCACTTATTTCTCAGTGTGGGCTTCTCGGCTTTCCTGGATTTTAGCTGAGAGAGAGACTGTGTTTTCAGAGTCTTTTTGACCCACTTTGAAGCAGGCCTGGCACTGCCAGTCAAAGGGAGCGCTGTCTCAACTTTTTTCTGGGATCTTGTTAGCACCTGGTCAGCTGAGGCTAGTCCCCTCGCATCCTGAGAAGATTCAACTGATTTCTCTACATCTCTGACGTCAGTACAGTGTAATGCTCCTTTTGTTTTGACTGCTTTAGTGGCTGTGGGTTTGACTACTTCAAGTACTCCTGCCTCACTTGTCTTTTTACTGTCCATCTTGCTTTTTGATGTGCTCAACAGTTTGAGTTCAGTTGTTTTTGGAGAACCAAGTCTCTGAGAAGTTCTCTTTGGCATTTCTCTAGTTAGATATCTTGCAGATTTACTGCCGCCGTAAGCCTTATTTGTTCTCTCTAAGTGTTTGCTAGTCGTCTTGATGGCCAATGTCTTTTTTCTTTCCAATTTGTCTACAGGCTCTTTCATTTCTTTACTGGGGATGATTTCTGGGGATGATTTCTGTGACCTTGGAGATATTTTCAGATTAGACTTGGTTTCAGTCTTTGCGGTAGCTACATTCTTCCTTTTGTTGGCGTTTATGACTTTTGCAGCCTTTTTCAGACTGACTTTAGTTTGCTGAACTTTCATCTTTCCTCGGATATTGGAGTATTTTCTCAAGATTCTCGCACTGGTAGGGTTTTTGGATTTGCCACAAGATTTTTGTGATTCCCCCGACTGCATCTTGACTTTATCCGAGGAGTTTGACCTTGTTGAAGCCTTAGCATTACGGAGAGGGTCTCTCCTCTCCTTACTCCTAGAATTTGCCTCTTGCTCCAGTGCCTTAGCAATTAATTTCTGATTTTTCGGGTTGCACTTTACTGGAGAAGCAATAGCAAACTTTTTCAAATGTTTCTTCAAGCGCTCTGCCTGGAGACTTGGATAGACGCCTTGGGAAGTCCCTGAGGAACTTGAGCTGTGGAAGCAGAGTTGAGTTTCTGAAGGTAGTCTTGTATTTACCTTTTTGACAATGACAAGGGACTTTGTTTCTGTTGACTCTAGAAACCATCGACAAATATTGGTGAGATTGAAACCTTTCATGAAGAGTACTTGAACTGGTGAGTATTTCTGGTTCTCAGCAAACTTCTGTTTTTTAGCCCTACGCTTACTTTTCCATATTGCTGCCTGTCTGTCTGACTTGTTCTTGTATTTAGTGGCAGCCTGAGTCTCCTTATCCATTTGAACCCACCCTTTTTGCATTTTTTCATACTTCATGTTTAAATTTGTTATTAGGTTTTGGTTTTCTTCACCAGTCAGGGCCTCAAAGAATTTGTTTGTAGTCTGTTTTGGGAGTTCATGCTTTGTTTTGATGGCACTGGAGGCTGAGCTCTGTTGAGGGACAGATGGTTGGGACACTGAATGAGGCTTCATTTGTGCCTTAGCCATTCTATCCGGTGTTGATCTGAGAGGTGATGCTACATCACTCTGTTGTCCAGATTCAGTTGGAACATTTGAAAACAGTGTTTTTGACCTCAAAGCTACTTTCTTGCTCTCCACCTGTGGAGATGGACTACCTTCACTCCTTAATGGCATTCGTGTGGGTTTAGTCAACTCTGAAGAATTGCATTCCTCCACATCTGCAGACCTGTCATTTAAAGATGCTTCGCTTGGTTTTTGGAGTGGAGCAGCATAACTTGTTTCAGGCTCTTTTCGAAGTACCCGTTTACCCTTTGTTTGCTGTTTCTCATTATCAGTGTCGACCATAGCCTTAGCAGATCTGAGCTTCTGTTTGGCTGGTGATTCACTTTTAACTTCAATAACGTCCAAGGTTTTTCCCATTGGTTGGTATGTTTCTAAGTTCACTTCACTACAAGACACAGGAGCAGTCTTCGGTTGAGGTTCTTGTTGCACTGCCGCAGAATTTGAGCTAAATGATATGGGAGGAGCAGGAGGTAGAGGTTGTTTTTGTAAGGATGAGGTGAGGGAGAAATCCGAAAGGGATTCCGGACTGCTGGGCTTCTGGCTGCCTGATCTGAGTTGCCTTTTGGAATCAGCACCTGGAGAAGTGTCAAGAACCTGACTTGAAATATTAGGCAAACTATCTTGCACTTCTGATTCTCTCATTTGTTTGTGAATCAGAGTTGTCCTTGATGGACTTTTGGATTTTGGGCTTGGTGCGTTTTTAGAAGGTGATTCCGTCACTGGCGAAATCACAGAAGACTCCCCAGCACCTACTTGATTGGATTTTTCAGAGGGGCATTTCTCCACATCTTTATTTTCTGATGGCGGACTGAGCGATGTGTCAACAGAGGTATTATTTACATTCTGTCGAGATTTTACTGGGGTTTTGCGTGGTGATGGACTGCTGGGCAATGATAGACGCCGTAGACTTCGGTCAGAAGCAAATATGGGTCGACCATTAAAGTAACCCACAACCTTTTCTGTTTGTTTGAACTTTTTAGGTGCAGGGGCAACAGAGCCTCTTTTTCTTCTCCAAGGAGGTAATTCCTTCAAAAGAGAATCAAGAGTTTTTGAAGATAGATCATAATCATAATCCTCATCATTATCATTTCCCTGTGTCTCTGCAGGTGTGTTGCTTCCAGTCATTTCAGATTCTGTCACTTCCATCTCTTCTACCTTTGTTTCCTCTACTGAGCCTATGATGCTGGATTCTTCTTTTGAGGCAGTTTTACAAAACTGAGTCTTTTGATTAGGTTCATGAACTTCCTTTTGTTTTTCCTCACTTTTACTTTCACCACCCTCTTCCAAAACTTGCGATATGGGTGATGGAACTTTATATTCCTGTGGAACTATTTCACTGTTGGATATCTCTACTGAAGTAACCTCAATTTCAACTTTATTCCCATCTGCTGTGCTATCAGGCACAAGTGTTGTTTTTTCAGCCATTTGTTCAGTACTTTCAGTCATGCTCTCTTCAAGCTCATTATTTGTTTCTGCTTCGGGTGGAGACTGAGAAACAGTTTCACCACTTTTTAGGTTTGCTTCTGTGTCTTTAATTGGCAAATAAGAATCCTGTATCTGATCTGTGGATTCTTGTGCTAAATCTGCAGCAGCCTTAAGTCTTTCTTCATTATATTTGTTTTCTTTAGCATCTTGTATGTTTTCCGCAGCTTTATGTACATTTTCCTCAGCATCCTGTATCCTCTCCGCAGCGTCCTGTATCCTTTCCACAGCATCCTGTATCCTTTCTACAATGGTGTTTATTTCTGTGTGTTTGTACTCTTTATAAGCTCCTGTGGGAGATGAGGAGGCAGACTGCAAATTGCTCTGACACTGATCTGTCTGGCTTGTTTCCACCACAACATTTCCTTTGCCATCCCTTACTTCAACAGTATCCCCTGCTCCCGTTATCCCACTTTCATCCAACTCTTCTGTAGACACTTGCTGATTAATTGTTTCACTGCATGCTCCGACATAAGGCATATCCACTGGGGGAACACCCTCAGGTTTTGAGAGGATCTGTTTTGGGGTGACCAATGTGACACGTTCTGGCATAGGATTAGGACAATTACCTCTACCAGCCAATGTACGGACAGTTTTTAACTCCCAAAATTCGTCAGAATACACATGTCCCCTGGTGCTTTTTCTGGCATTACGACGAGGAAGTAAGCTTCGCCTCTGTTCCTTAAAACACTCTGTTATTGGTTTGTCAATATAAACTATGTCGCAGTGGCCAAGGTCAGGGTCAACAACTGTCCGACACGGAGCGTCTGTAGTTCGATTATCGGGGAATGATCTCATGGTCTTTCTGGCAGTCCGTGGAGCGTCTGTGGAAATGGTCATGTGGACTGAGAACTGTTTGACAGGTGATTCTTTTGTCTCCTTTTGCCTAACTTGATGTGTGTTACTTGTCTGATTGTGTCTTTTCACAGAGGAGCTAAGTCTTGCACTCAGAGCCTCTGTTCTGTTGGATGAATTTGAGTTTCCTTGTCTTTCATCTAAAGTGTCGGATGATGATGACAGGGAAGTATTTAACACACAGGACAACTTCTTTCCATCTGCAACGTTACTTGTCATAATCTTCATTTTCAAGGGTGCGTGGTCACCGTGACGAATGTTCCCCACATCTGCTGGTTTAGTGGAAGGAGGAAGCAGAGATATATTACTTGCTGACCCAGGACTACAAACATCCAACACATGGCTGGAGGTAAGTGACGTTTTTAGTGACACTGCATTCTCCGGAACCTTTTTCATTGCACAAATACTTGTGTTGGAATTAGTCACATCCTTGACCTTTGGCTTTGGAGTGGATTCATTCAGAATTCTTAGCTCAATCCCAGACTTTACAGAAGAGACTGTTGGTGAACAAGCACTTCCCTGTATTCCAGAGGTAGAGGTATAGGCTTGCTGCGTACCAGAGGAACCTAGAGCTTTGACTTCTGTGTGTAGAAATCCCACAGCATCCACAATCTGTCTCTGATGGTGGTGGCAGAGTTTTGCCATAAACTGCTCCAGTGTAGATGTGGACTGAAGGTCTTTTGCCTTTGTGACACGCACATCACTCGGCTCTCTGAGAAAGAAAGAAAAAAAAATTAAACATTGGCTCACACAAGTGACAAGTGCATAAGTTAAAGACTGATGGGTTTAAATATTTTTGTAAATAATGTATACCATGAAAAACTATATTTATCATAGTACATTTATTAGAAGAATAAGTGATTGAAACGTGATTCATTCCTCCAGTGACTACTTAGAGCTTTAACATTTTTAAATATTTATTTTGCACAATGGAGCTTTTAGTTACAGAGTACATCCAGTACACGGCATGCAAAAAAACATTTGGGAATAGTGGCCCACTATTATTAAAAACACAAACACATTGTAATCACTTCAAAGTAAATCCATTAGATTTAAATGGCAAATACACCAAATACAATGACTCTATTAGAAGTATAAATATTAAGAAACAACCAAAACAGTCCCACATTAACAACCGTGCCCTTTTATGCCCGTCTATGCAGTTCATAACCAATCCATTAACTGAAAGTATTTATTTTGTACTTGGTTGTGGTTGTGAGGTAGATCAATTATCTTCTTTATTTGAAGTATTTACTGTTTAGCTGATGACATAACTGTGGTTAGTGCGCTATTAAAAGGTTTAGGCAATAAATCTGTAATCTAGCTGCAATCTCTTAAGTAAAGGAAGTGGGGACAGTAAAATTAAAATAGTTATATAGTACATAGTTGTTCCTAGTTTACGCATTTTGTCTATTTAGGCATGCTTATACTGACAGAAATCCTTGAAAATAATTATCCTGGTGGTCAACACTATACTAAGACCCTAGGTCGTATTTACAGTCACAAAAATAAGAAAAATATAAAAAACAAAACCTGTGACTACAACATGCCACAATATCTGAGCATAACTGTGCTTGGGATCTAAACAGTAAACAAAGTACCTGAATAAGTTGTGATACTGATTCCTGAGAATTAGTGGATTTGTGAAATTGGAAAGGGGGCGGGGGGGGGGGGGGCGTTTTTCCCAAAACCTGTTATTTTTACCTTATACAGGTAAATACAACATTCATTGGCAGAAGAACTATTAGAACTTGGTTTCACAATATTTTACAATTCCATAACATTCAAACTACAACAAGTTAGAAACATAAAATTAAATAGTACTCAGTATTTCATTATTCTTTGTTTTTCTCCAGTAAACCTACATCATTAACAGTTGATGTGAAAACACAGCAGTAATTTCAACAAAACAATATCCAAGAAATACATTACAATAAACTTTACACAGAATGTAGAATTTAGTTGATTCATGCAATTTTTTGTTTTTTAAATAAATACATTGTAAAAATCTGTACATATTTTAGACAATGAAACCTAAGTGGTTTAAATCCTCTCTCAAATCATCTATGTCTTGCTTGTTTAGTCATCAAGGAAAATATTTACAACCTTAAATTTTATATCCGTCATTAATGACAGATAAATATTCTGCATCTTTTATGGATAATATAGTTATCTGACCTCTAACAACTTATTAAGATCATTTTTGTATTTTCATAGTTTTTGTCATTCATGGATAATTTGATGTCTATATAATCAAAACATAAATTCTACTTTTTTTTTTTCTGGCAGATAAAAATCCCCTTTGTCAAATGTGCTCTTATTTAAATACGTCTAAGTAGCACCAACACCGAGACAGAAAGACAAAAGTAGGAAAAAATGATAAAATAAACAGACCAGAGTACAATTATGAACAACTGTACATTAGGTTCACATTTTCTTCAGTAGGTTTTGTGCCCTGTACCTGACATGCCTGCTACATGAGACAGCTATAACAACAGTAGACTTTAATAATGTTTTTACCACATGAGGTAGTCGACCGTTTATGTACTACGATAAAACGTAGAGAACAAAATGTGCTGAATCTGTCAAATACAAAGATCTCTGTTTTGTGTACAGTGTTTTCAGTATAATGAATAGAAAACAAAGTGACAGTTGAACTGAAAAGGCTGATTGTCAATGCAATTAATGAATGACGGGGAATAAGTAAAAGAAAGTGAAATTTAAAATTGTATAATTAAACTAATAAAATGTAGGAAAACATTTAGTGCAAAAAGTGACACAACAGTAAGTCAGACAACACAAACACAAATAAACACAAGTTAAAACTTTAGAGTGCGATTGGGACAAGTGTAAATGCACAGATTCTTGTAAAATTTGACTTTTCTCAATAAACTGCTTAATAAGTTAAATAAACATTGTGCAAGTAGCATCAAACTGCAAACTGCACAATTGTTATTTATTTAAGTGGTAAATCACAATGTACTGTCAACATATTTGCATGTAAAATAAATTAGGTAGTGCAGGCAATTTAAATCAATATTTTCCATATCATTTTGAGCTAAATCTCATATTTACACCCAACAGATCTGAGACGATCTTTTGAAATGCATTTCTACAATTAAAAATACCTGACTGTTAAGTGAGTTGTCAGTTCAGCAAACAGTGGCTTTGCTAGAAAGCTGACATGTTTGCCCTTTTTAACCTGAAAAAGGAACAGTTAATAAATAAATAAAGTACCTTAATGCTTTTATAGTAAGAGTCAGCAAGTGCATTACATTTTACTATTAATAACAATGTCATTAAAATAGATACAAATATGACCGCTAATACCTTTAGTGAGGAGTGTGTGTGCGCGGAGTTGTGAGATAAATTCTACATATGTATAGCTTTCATATTAAAATAAATATCTGCCTTTTGTTTATGCTGGAGAAAAAAAATGCAAAAGATAAAATCTGAAGAGCTGAGCCCTGAACCACAGAACACAAAGTTCTGCACACCTGCAGTGATAGTAAAATGCTACAGATCTAGTTAAGGTAGCGTGTGAAGACATCTGAGAGTTAGATACATAGTGTTGTCAGAAAGACTTCCTGAAATGTTACCTGATAGACTCGTTTTGGGTCCTTTCATTCCCCAGCAGAGGTAAATAATGAGGCAATGACATAGTTATAGCAAGTAGCTGAGGTATTTAGTAATAAGGTTTACAATGAGTTCAGTTATGGTGTATTTAAATATTTGTTCTGACTTAAATCTATTGCGTCCTAGTGGAAACTTCTGGTATATCCTGAGAGCAATGCAGCAAATAATAATAATAATAAAAAATCATTCATATAGTTTAGCAAACAGACCATGCTAGAGAAAAATATTCTCTAGGAATTGACAAATAATGTGGTGTGCGTATGTCCAAAAATGTCCAAACCTAACGGCTAAAATGCAGCCTTAAACCATTACGGAGCAACATTTCATCTTTGTTGTCCATACTTAAAAATCCTTAGTTATTAGAAAATGGCCTGACTCACATTAAGAAGTCATTGATGTCTGAAAAGAAATCTCGACAAAAAGAAAAACAATCTGTGGTCACACAGAGCAAACTGTTTGCTAAAGGACTGGCCCTGTAACAAGAAGACAATGTGACCACTTAGTTTGTTGTGACTCATGCACACCACTGTAGCGGTTTGTCAATTTGTATCACCATACCATTTGCTTTATACAGTACTGAGAGAAGACACTGAGGGGCGCCACACCCATAAATATGCCTGAGTTTGTGTATGTATGTAAAGCCATACTAATTATTACTAAAAAATATTCAATAACCTGATATTATTTGACTGTAGTACATTAAAATCTTTACAGTGGGTATGTATTCTTAGGACAAAACATAATAGATACATGGAAAATAAAATATAAGTCCATAAACAAATATATTGATATATTAAAGATCAAACGTTAATGGTAAAAATAATCACATGTCGATAAATTAATAATTTGGTACATAATTTACACAAGTCATCAACCACTGTCTGGAGACATTTTAGTTCCAGCTTTACTAGTAGAGCTAGTCATTTGATGAAAGGCTTCCATCGTGTCCGTCACTTCCGTTTACTACAAGTGTACTTTTCCATATCTGACATGCCTGCTGGGTGGTACCATCGTGGTACTGTACACATCCTTTGTCCTCTGTCTGACTGCTCAGCTTTAGTTTCTTTTTGGGGGGATTTTTTAAAGTCCCCAGTCGCTCTTTGACTTTGTATTCCAAGGTGCTGTGCGGAATTCCATAAATGGATTGGGCTTTGGAGACGCTCATTTTGCCGCCCATTACCAGCACTATAGCCTCTTCCAGCAGCTCCGTGTTGTACTGACGATATCGCCCTCGTTTCTTCCTTTTTCCATCATCCTTCCTTCCATTCAGTGGGTTACTTGGGATTCCATTGGTGTCCAGAGAATAATTTTCCACCAGTGCTTGGTGGTTGGTGATGCAAGGCCAGTACTTACTCCCTAAACCTGAGCTATTGGGACCTCTGCTACTCTTTTTGTGGATCTCCTGGGGTAAAATAGGAAACGGTTTCTTCCCCTGAGCATTTTCATGAGAAGAACCTGAATTTCCGGGGGACAAGGAATCCCAGGACGTGTCCATCCCTGAGGGCACAACTCGCACCTGAGGAATCTTTAGGTCAAACCGTGATGAATGAGAAAGGGATAGTGTTTGCTCCACACAGGGCCCCTGGAAATTTCCTTTCTCAGAATTAAGTGAATGAATTAAAAACCCAGCTTCTAACAATTTGGAAATTTCTTTCAGATTCTCAGAAGCCTTGAAGTTGCAGGGAGAAATTCCATTTCTTAAGGGACCGTTGGGTGCAGAGCCCTGGTTTTCCCCGAGAGGTGTCTTGATGATGCTTTCAGCATCAACTTCCTCTTTGACGTGCAGAGAGTATGCGAAAGACGAGGTAGGTTTATAATGGTTGGAGTGGCCGATATTCTCCCTCCTCATCCCATCCTGTAGGCTCTTCATAAACAGCCCGACCTGCCCGTCCGTTCTCAAGGAAGGCCTGATTGGATGGAAGGAAATTGGGTGTAAGCAGAGCTTGGACAGTCTCTCTTATTGTCTAAAGGAGGATGGGTTGGGGTGGGAAGGATGTTGGCCACTCCTTTATTATATGATCTTGCTTTGGTAACATCACTTTATTTTAAAAATGACAGTGTGGTTGTGTGTGGAACGTTTTATGAGTCGAAAAAGCTGAAGATGGATTTTTTCTATTTCTTGCTGTTATGACTTCACCAATTTTGCATCAACAAAGGAAAGAAATAAAAGAGGGCGAGAAAACAACAGAATATAAAGCAAAAATATACAACAAAAGAATAACAAAAAAGTAAAATGTTCACCTGGCTTTAAAGAACAGCCAAAAGGGAGAATTTCATTGGGATGATAAACTGTTAATAAACAGGACATGGTAATTATCCCACTCAAACTAATAATGTAGCAAATGCAGCTTCTGACTTTGTGTGTGACGTTACCGCTGAACAAGCACAGCAATAAAAGAGTTAGCCAGCAAGGTAGTGTGAATGAAAACAAAAAGCTAAATTTCAACAGTAACATCTGACTGTTTTTTTTCCACAACATATGTATTTACTTTACTCTTTCATTTACCGCAAACTTTTTTCTATACACAAACATTAATATTTTCCTGGTGAAAATGACTAAATTTGAATAAATAACACTTGTTATCAAAGACCTAACATACCAAATAGTTACACATATCAATTCTTGCTGGTTTGAAGATAATTTTAGGAGCAGACATTTAGGGTTAACAATTGATTCAGCACCAGGATAGTGAGCATGTGTAGTATAAGTACGAGATTATATTAACTATATTAGAATTATATGTTTTGGTGCTTTTCAGCAAAAAAAATTAGTATCACCATCACAGGGTTTCAGGTCTACTGCTATTCCTACCACCACTACTGCTGCTGCTCGTGCTTTATATTCATTTCAGTTTGCTGAAATCTGGCACCATAGCATTACCTAGAATTAATTGAATATTTTGGTTTTAATTTAAGTTAAAAAAAACTGTGTCTTACACCATAAGTGTGGATTTACAGGCAGGAAGCCGTGGAAGTAGGGCAAAGGAAGTTGCATAAACTTTCCAGTCTGCAGGGTCACGCATTCTACACGTAAGAGTGAAGCCTAATGGGTTTTTGTAGGCAGCAGCGCAGCGGACCTTGCAGTCACAATTCAAAGGTTTTACCAAGACCACTTGCATTATTTCTCTTTGTGTTTGAATCTACTTTTGCCCAAACCTATGCATCTTTTTAAGCAGCCCAATAGTTTGAGATGGCCTCTTTTTTTTTAAATTAATTTTCTTAGATGATGTACAGGCAGTGGTGTAATGTCAAAAGGAAATCACATTTTAAACCTTAACAAAATACTTTAAAACATTAGAGCGATAAAAACAAAGATAAAATAAAGAGATGTGAAGAAACAAGCTTCTTACCCTTTGATCGTAGATGTCAGTGGAGAAACGCAGGGACTATAGACTGACACGTTGCTGCTATAGCGATTTTTTTTGATTGACAAATCAAGAACTCCATCTTAAATGAAAACAAAAATAAAAGCAGAAAGTCAAACACAACTGAGACTAAATGATGACTTTGGACAGGCTTTGGTTCAGCATCACAGTACCTTGATCACATGGCTCAGGTGGAGGCTTCTTGATGGTGAGGTCAAGAGGAACATCTTGGTCAGCCATGAGGAGCTTGCTGAGAACAGGGTTTTGGTTCTGTGCTGACCCAGTTAGAGCAGGAGCAGGGCTGCCTGTAGCAGGAGCCCCAGTGAGTAAGGGTGGGGCAGGGAGGCTTTGGTCAGTGTGAGGCTGAGATTCTGAACAACTGTCCTGAGGAGAGCTGGTTTTTGAGGTATATTCGGCGGCAAACTTTCGGATCATTTTTTGAAGAATCTCTCGAGCAACTACTGGAATGTGCGGGTCTGAGAAATTTGGCACGTCTGGAAGGGGGAAAAAAAAACATACACAAGGTTAAAAAACAGTATGAAGAGTGAGCTCTGGACAAACGTTATGAAGCATTTACAACTACCACATTTAATAGAGCAACCACAATTATAATAAAAATAAATGCAATCATAAGAAAATATGGTTAAAAATATTACAACGTATTGGTTCGCTTAACTGGTCTCACCTTTTCTGTAAAGGACTGCATTGAGAAACTCCTCAGCTTGTTTTTCCAGCCTGTTGATAGTTGTCTGATCTTTCACTAATAGAGGTTGGGGTCCATCTTCAAGCCCCTCCTTGTTTTTACCAATTAAATGTTCCTGAAAGATGAGAACGCTGGTTAATTTATATTTATCAGACAGGCATCAAAGGCAATCACAAATCTTTACATTTGCACATTTGCAATAGACAAAACATTGACGGCTTTAAATTTGTTAACTGTAAAGAAAGTTATTGAGACAGTTAAGTGTTTTTACCTTAACCTTGTCTCGTCTCAAACAGCAGAAAAGACAGTTTTCTTCAAATGACCAGTCGGAAACTGCTACAGGCCCAAGGTCTGTGGACACATTTATAAAAAAAACATTTTTACTAGGTGTGCATGATAATTATCAACACAATATCAAAGAGTTTGATATCAAAACAAATTGCCCCAAAAATATATAATATTTTCATCATCACAATGGTATGGGCTGATATTTGATTAAAAGTAAACTATTTATAATTGCCCAAAAAAGTCTTTAGAAATAAAAGTCTCCAAAAGTGAATTAAAAAGCTCTTATTTGCATTAAAATGTGTAGCCATATTTATACTTATAATTTAGAAAAAACATTTTTTGGTTCATCATTTGGTTAGAACGGCCTCCCCGATCTAAATCCGAGATGTACCATACTAATAATTTCCAAAAACAGAAAACTCAAAAAATAATTAATATGTATTAATTTGCCTGATTTATAGGATTTTTTTTCTGTCAAAACAAAAATCTAAATGGTATCCCTTCTGCATGTTTCTCATCAAATTAGAGCATTTTGAGAGAATATTCAGAAAATCCTTTGTACGTGATTGTTTGGTAAAATTCTAATTTTGCATGTCATTTCATCAAATTACAGCATTTGGACACTGACAACACCCGCATCAAATGCAGATCTATCAGTATCACTAGTGACCCACTCCCACCCAGCCCAATGCCACCTGAGCCAGAACAAGCGGACTCCAAGACAGTTTCATCTACCAGGACATGAGGATGCTCAAACCCCTACCTTCCCCAGCCCCCAGTCACAGACAAACTTTGCTCTGCCCCTCCTCTCTGTACCTCATGCAGAGTCTCTGCTGCACTTTCAATTGAAATAAGCTCTTATCCTATTTCATTACAAAATCATTTCATTGCTTTAAAACTCTGTTATTACGAAGTGCTTTGAGTGATGCCACAACATAAGTATTTTTATATTTTTAAACAGTGTGTTTAACAGTGTGTACATATTTGTATTATTGTACGTCTTCCCTTTTGTAAATATTTTATTATATTCTTGCCTTTTTTTGTATTGTGGGTCCAAGAAGTTTGTAATTTCATTTGTGCAATATCTACTGTATAGTGTGTATGGCATGTTAGACGATTTGACAACATATTGTTTGAGAAATTTGTTTAGGAAGTTATTGGTGTAGTATTTTAATGTGATCAAAAGTTGGTGTACCAAAAAACTATATTATTTTTGAATTTTAAACAACAACAGTGGACATAGCTAATTATTTTAAGGCAA